CTTCGTTGATGAGGACAGCCTGGTATTTTTTTCTCTCTCTTATCAATGGTGTCTGTTGGTAACCAGCTCGATATTAAAACATGGATATTTGTTTCGATCAACGACATTCAAATTATTCAATCAAATTTATTAAAACTTGAAATCAGAAGCAAAGACTTAGAAAATGATGCACAAGCTTATTCAATTTGGTTGCACCTGGTCATCAAGTTCACACTCATAAAGGAGCACTGGTGCCGCAGGTACGTCAACAATACTAAGGCTGCCGTGGCCACCCCACACAACCACCACCTGGACCGTAGCCAATAATAATTACGCCTCGCCAACAACAACAACAACTTGCTGCATAATCTGGATGTATGATCCTCATCAGAAATGACTTTGGTGTCTCGCCGTCGACCTTTAAATTTTGTTCATGCTTTAGACCTACAATATTCCGCCTTGGCTCTTATTCATTAAAATTTGTTTAAAAGCCTAAGCCTAATACGAAACATGGACAAATTTACCCGATGAAATTCTGTTCATTACAGCTAGCTGGTCAATCGGTCAGTTTGACAAATCTTTGCACGAATGACTACAATCATGAATACAGCCTTCTTCTGGCAGAGAATTGATAGCTGTGTTAAAGTATCTTATAACGGCTGGCACACACATTGCAAACCACGTTACCGACATGCATAATAGTCTGTGTTCCCGTGACCTCGAAACATACAAATAGCATGTGGGCGATGGGGGTCCACAAGTGGGTTCTCAGCCCAAACACCTGTGCTACTATATGCTCCCTGCACAGCTGGCGATGCTATACACACCTCTTCCTGAGAACACGTATCCTAGATAGTCTCGTGTGATTTACTACAGTGACTCATCACAACAGGACAGCCCAACGGTGCATACTTGCTGCTGTCAGGACTTTACAACATCCAGATGAAATATTAGAGCAGATACCTAATTCCATTGACTTATAACCACACTAGATACAATACCCGAGCGCCCCCACCCTTCTCTCCCAATCTTCCTCTACCCTACTCTTTCCAAATTTCTTTACCCCTCTCCTTTCCTCTACATCCTCTCACCCAATCTCCCCCTCTCCTCTCTTATCCATCCTCTCCCTCTTCACCTTTCTCCTCCGTGCTTTCCCCTCTCCACCATTCTCTCCCCTCTTAGAAAATGTAATATTATGAAGCACTGAAACTGCTAACTATAAGAAATACAACCTCTATTTCAGAAAGGACAGGCTACAGATGCCAATTTCTTAAAATTTGCCACTGCGGCTAACCCAGACTGTCTTATGACACTTCCACACTCCCATGTGCTATCTTGGAAAGTTGGATGAGGTTAGCCCCAAATACTGTATATGGCTTTCAACTTTAGTCACATTGTTATATTTATAGAATATCTATTTGCTATAATTTCAGAACTTCATCCAGGTACAATTATGGAAAGACCTTGACCAACTTCTGGAGTGGACAGACATATGGCTGTTAAAAGTTAAACCGCCAACATGCTTAAGGTAACAAACATGGGAAAATGAGTATAGAACATACGGAATCTACACCATAAGGTGACTAAGGAAGGTAAGTAAGATAACTGGAAAGAGACAAACAAAAACTTAAGATTGGATATAATTAAAGCACTAAATACCATTGGCACATATAAAGGAATTATCATTATACTTTGTAACAAAACACGGAAAAAAACAGAGAAACTAACATTATAACTTACAAGACAATCTATAATGCCTAGGTAAAACCAATAACGGAATACTTCGCACCGGGCCGGACTCCGCTTATTTTGAAGTACTGAACAAAAATTAAAAAAACATCAGAGGTTTGCAACAAGCTTAGTGCCAGAACTATGAGGATTAAGATACATGAGCAGGTTAACATAACAACCTCAATCTTGGAACAGAAAGAAGAACTAAAGGGGATATGTAGTCTACATAAATGAGTGAAGGGTATAAACAAGGCAGACAAGGACAGTCTTAAGTTAAAGTTGTTCAAGAGGACATTGGCCTTTGGAAAGGAAAACGTAAACAAAATGTAGGCTTCAGATCAAAGAAAAATAATGATCGCAGCATAAAACAAGGTGTGAGCAAGAGGCTCGTGTTAGTTCCATGACCTCATGTAGCACGTTCCAAGACCATATATGGAATGAGAGGAGGGAAGCAGGTCCTCGGAATAAATGGTAGGAGAAGAGGAAGAGTCGGAGAAAGACTGCAGAGACAAGACACCGGAGGGTTCGTGTCAAGCGTTGAGGGAAGGTGTGGGTGGAGAGTATACAGAGTAGTGACAGGACTCGGAGCAAGGAGTAACGCCAAGGTTTCCTGCGTAATTGCATACGGTTTTGTTCATCACTAATCTCTATATTGTCTGTAGGTTTATACTTTATTAGGGTGTCTATTTCAATTATTGAATAATTGGAATAGAAGTCGAGCATTAAATTAATCTTCACTCTTTCATTTCCGACGATGTCTCCGTATAATAACGATGATAGTAATAATCTTGAAGTCCATATCATTCATTTATCGTAGTTAAATAATAATAAATGCTCCCCTCCCTAGTGATAAATGATAGCTCATCCTCCCGTTTTGATAGTAATGCATATATGCCGATGTGCAACGAAATTCTAAAGTAGAAACCGGCACTATTGAGTTTGACAAATCGGAAAACCACTTTCTACTTATGTTGCAAGGCCAAGATAAACTAACCTAATCTGCCAATGCCTAATACACGATATCTGAGGCCTAATATAGTACATGTTTGCTATACTAGTTCTAGGAATATCTAAGTACGTTTTTCAAGCTTCATTTTTTCAGACTCGAAGTGAGTAGCACAAAGTTCTACTATCTAATTGCTTAGAACGGTAATCTTTGTACTTTGTACTCTTGAGTACTGGGGGAAGATAAATAATAATAACCGTGGAAAATAGTATAGGGGCTGGTCCGAAACCTGCACACAGAAATAACAGTACATGAGACATGGGGGGGGGGGGAAGGAGAGGAGGTGGAGAAGAGGGAGGGAGGGAGGGAGGGAGGGAGGGAGGGAGGGAGGAAGGAAGGAAGGAAGGAAAGAAAGAAAGAAAGAGAAAAAGAGAGAAAGAAAGAGAGAAAGAAAGAGAAAGAGAAAGAAAGAGAAAGAGAGAAAGAAAGAGAGAAAGAGAGAAAGAAAGAAAGAGAAAGAAAGAGAGAGAGAGAGAGAGAGAGAGAGAGAGAGAGAGAGAGAGAGAGAGAAAGAAAGAAAGAAAGAAAGAAAGAAAGAGAAAGAGAGAAAGAGAGAAAGAGAGAAAGAAAGAAAGAGAAAGAGAGAAAGAGAGAAAGAAAGAAAGAAAGAAAGAGAGAAAGAAAGAGAGAAAGAAAGAAAGAAAGAAAGAAAGAGAAAGAGAAAGAGAGAAAGAAAGAAAGAGAGAAAGAGAGAAAGAAAGAAAGAGAAAGAAAGAGAGAAAGAAAGAAAGAAAGAGAGAGAGAAAGAAAGAAAGAAAGAAAGAAAGAAAGAAAGAAAGAAAGAAAGAAAGAAAGAAAGAAAGAAAGAAAGAAAGAAAGAAAGAAAAAGAAAGAAAGAAAAAGAAAGAAAGAGAGAGAGAAAGAAAGAGAGAAAGAAAGAGAAAGAAAGAGAGAAAGAAAGAAAGAAAGAAAGAGAGAAAGAGAGAAAGAAAGAAAGAAGAAAGAAAGAAAGAAAGAAGAAAGAAAGAAAGAAAGAAAGAAAGAAAGAAAGAAAGAAAGAAAGAAAGAAAGAAAGAAAGAAAGAGAGAAAGAAAGAAAGAGAGAAAGAAAGAAAGAAAGAGAAAGAAAGAAAGAGAAAGAGAGAGAAAGAAAGAAAGAAAGAAAGAAAGAAAGAAAGAAAGAGAGAAAGAAAGAGAAAGAAAGAAAGAAAGAGAGAAAGAGAAAGAAAGAAAGAAAGAGAGAAAGAAAGAAAGAGAGAAAGAAAGAGAGAAAGAAAGAAAGAAAGAGAGAAAGAGAGAAAGAAAGAAAGAAAGAAAGAAAGAGAGAAAGAGAAAGAAAGAAAGAGAAAGAGAGAAAGAAAGAAAGAAAGAAAGAGAAAGAAAGAGAGAGAAAGAAAGAGAGAAAGAAAGACAGAACGAAAGAAAGAAAGAAAGAGAGAAAGAAAGAAAGAAAGAAATAAAGAGAAAGAAAGAGAGAAAGAGAAAGAAAGAAAGAAAGAAAGAAAGAAAAAGAAAGAAAGAAAAAGAAAGAAAGAAAAAGAAAGAAAGAAAAAGAAAGAAAGAAAGAAAAAGAAAGAAAGAAAGAAAAAGAAAGAAAGAAAAAGAAAGAAAGAAAGAAAGAAAGAGAAAGAAAGAAAGAAAGAAAGAAAGAGAAAGATTTTTTTTATTAAAGTAAAGGTACATACATTGAGTTATATACATAATGTTGGATTTAAAGATAGAGATATTACATACAATACCTGAAGCCACTAGTATGCATGCAGCTATAGGAAAGGAAGGATAAGAACATGTTTTGCAAATAGTTTTGACAATTTACATTCTGATTTAATACATCACCCTATCTATCTAATCTCAAGTGTAAGATGCAGTATTAGCAGCTCATACTGCTTAGATATAGTCTACATAAATTAAGGCACTTAAATAAATTTAAATAAATTAAATAAATTGGTGGTCGTATCTTGCACCACTACGCTTATCGGCTGCTGACGCGTTTATCTGGAGTTTCGTTTACTAAACATCCTTCACCAATACATTTAATTTACATGCATTTAATTTAGTTTGTCATCGCTGTAGTAACGAGAACTGACGTTGGGCTCAATATTAGGATAAACAGATACAATAACACAAGGTTAACCAAGAGTATACAGTACACTAGGCTCACTATATTGACATTGAATATGGAAGGGTTCTAACCACTGTCTATACACAGTACTGAGGCTAACATGGCCGGCTGGATGAATAAAGACAAGAGTACTACTGTTAGTGAGTTAGGGGCGAACTAGCAAGAGTTAGTTGTACCATCAATACACGAGGCAACGTTCCCATGTGAACGTTGGAGTACTCACCTGATAGCTACGCGGACACTAGATTCATCCCCCATTTTGGCGGTGTAAGCTGTGTTGAGACGTAATTAATGCTGCTGGCACCAAAATCTACCTCGAGACATTCCCAATTACAGTTACTGGTGTATATGAGTTAGTTATTCGAAGCCTTCAGTAACACTTGCACTTCACAACGCGCGCTCGTACATCCACACATGACAGACGCCAACAGCTGACTGGATGTCGGTGGTTGTTTTCAAATACGATACACGCAATGCCGCTGCCGGATACTGCCGTGAAAACTAATTTTAATAACAAAAATAAGATACAGTACTACATTATTTTGAGTATGATTTAACCATGTCTCCTTATAATTGTACAAACGAATATTAGTATAGTATGAATTTTTAATAACCGTATATTAATGAGGAAAAAAGAAATCGACAAGGAGAAACTGGCATCTCTCTTTTAATGCTGCGCAGACGCTACTTACCAACGCGTGTTATGTGTGAGAAAAATATGAAGCCTTTTAAACCTAGATGTTTGAAGATTTTAAAAGTGAAATTAATGTCATTGTTTGTGCCCATATATGTGAACAGGAGTGACGCAAATGATATAAAACGTAAATTGAAATATAATATTATTTCAACCATACACAATAAACTGATAATGTAATTTTTAAAGGGAAAATTAACAAATTATAAACACTTGCGTAGATCATGTAATTGCTTTCCTTGAAAATATATTATTTTGCCCCTATATAATACTGCAGAATTTGAACCCTTGCGCTTCAGCCCTGAATGACAGCAGCTATAAGAGCAATTTCTAAAACTAACATCCTATTTTGGCGGGGTAAATGCTGTCGCGCATCCAGTCTGCATGAGGTTTCGTTCATCGATCTCTTATAATATGAGCTATCCTTAGAGGATGTATGTATGTATGTATATATGTATGTATGTATGTATGTATGTATGTATGTATGTATGTATGTATGTATGTATGTATGTATGTATGTATGTATGTATGTATGTATGTATGTATGTATGCATATGTATACTGAATACTCTTCTCTTCTTACATTCATACTACTTCTCTGCATACTCTTTATTTTCTTCTTCGAGACTATGGGTCCCTACAATTGCACCAGAGGTGGTATATATATTTATATAGATAGGTAGATAGATAGATATAGATAACAGAGGTGTATCCAGAGAAGATATATTGTCGACCAAGCAGCTGCGACATGCCTATTAGCTGCAACACCACCACATGACACGGCCCGACTTAGAGCTGTAGCAGCTCCCCATGCAGGGGACTTCCTATTAGCAAACCCAATGTCAGCAACCAGCACGCGTTTAAGACCACAGGCCCTCCGAATTGCTGTGGCTCTCTGCCTCGCTGCCCCAATCCACACCGTGGCTCTCTGCCTCGCTGCCCCAATCCACACCGAATACAGGTGTATTTGTGGCGAGACAGTGGCCGACAGGTATGGATGGTATGGCCTTCTCTGCCAAGGAACAGGAGGATGGCATGCAAGACACAGCGAGGTTAATGACATTATTAAGAGAAGCCTTACCACAGCCAGGTGTTCAGGAGAGAGAGAACTCCGTTATCTAATGCCCCACAACTCTGATGAGCCTGTCGGTTGCCCAGACAGGATCACGGTGAACCCCTGGAAGAAAAGTAGGCAGTTGGTGTGGGACTACACTTGTATTTCAACTTTGGCCAACACCTATGTTGACTTCAGTGCTGTTCAATATTTTGAAAAAAAAAAAAATTATTTTTTCTTATAGAAATATATGCCATTATTCATTGATTTAAAGAAAATTAACAGAAATGTTCTGCTGTTTAAACTAAGGCCATGATCTTGAGGTTATCTTGAGATGATTTCGGGGCTTTAGTGTCCCCGTGGCCCGGTCCTCGACCAGGCCTCCACCCCCAGGAAGCAGCCCGTGACAGCTGACTAACACCCAGGTACCTATTTTACTGCTAGGTAACAGAGGCATAGGGTGAAAGAAACTCTGCCCATTGTTTCTCGCCGGCGCCCGGGATCGAACCCGGGACCACAGGATCACAAGTCCAGCATGCTGTCCGCTCGGCCGACCGGCTCCCTAATCAACAGAAACTTTTTTAATGGCCCACAAGATAGAGCAGAAAGTTCTACAAGACAATCAAAAGAAACATGATCCCTACCAACACTAACCAGAAGATACAGCTCAAACATACTAACAAGAGTAAGAAGATTTCCAACTTGCTCATGAAGAACTTCCCAACACCAAATGCTACAGTTTTTGGACATTCGTTTCAGTATTTTTGTCACGGCTAATAGAACAACTATAGTACTGTATATTCATTTTAATCCTAGTCTACTATAGGCTGTTTTTGCATGCATGCCACCTGAATCATGCTTTGAGATGAAAATATGCTATAGTATCCAGAGGAAATTTAATCTCAAATATGTTTTTTTTAGCAGCTAAAACATTCGTTCAATTATCACTAACTATTTCCTTGATGTTATTACTATGTACTATAATTATAAAATAAGAACTATGATTATGATATCCTATGTTCCATATAATCATTGTCATACTCTATGATGTTCTGAAACTTCCAATGGTTTTGACTTCACTACCATCTCATTTAATGTAATCGATCCATCTACCACTCATGTTCACAAAGATAATTTTGTACTTGTTTTTTTTTTTGCATCTTTCCTTTCTTATCTTGAATCTTTGGCCTCATTTTTTTTCAAAGTTGTGGGTTAAAAATCTTTTATTAACTTTGTATGTGATCATATCACCTATTTTGCTTTAAAGTAATTTGCAATACAATATTTATTTATTTTACTAATATCTCATAAAGCAAATATGTTTATGCATAACATTGTATGATCTCCCAAAACAGAAAACTAAACTGCATACTTGTGGCAGAAGGGCATTAGCAAATTTAATAAATTCACAGCAATAAATTGTTTATTCCCATCCCGATATTTTGGTCGAGTGAGATAACACTAATTAAATTCCTGGTTGCTACTAAGGTATAGTTCATGTATTAACAACAGCAAAGTACAGAAACCAAGGGGTTTTGTGGAATAAAAAAGATAATTATTATATATTTAATCTATAAGAATATACAAATTTTTAATTACTGTCATATAAATTTTAATGCATAGACTACACATTTCAGTGCAGGTAGATGTAAAATAAAATATTCATTATTTTTAGCCATTCCTAATACAAAAAAATTGGTTGAAATGCTATCAAGGATTTTATATAAAGTTCAGTATAAAATTTTATAATAACACTAAAAATATAACAGTGTGTAACCCATCCTCCTGAAATGAAAGTACAGTACTTACAGTTCAGTAAGAGTAAAAAGTAGTCTCTGTTGAGCAGTGGTAAGACACTCACCTGACAATTTGCGAGCGATTTTACCTGGGTTCGTATCCTGGCCGGGGAAGAGTATTAAGGCACCAATTCTTAACTGTAGCCTCTGTTCACTCAGCAGTGAATGGGTACCTGGTTGTTAAATGATTTGGCGGGTCATATTCCAGGAAAAAATCAGGATTAAAGACCTGCCCAAAATGCTATGCGTGCTAGTGGTTTTACATGAATTTATATATACTGTACAACTCTTGTATATATATAAACAAAACTATTTGGTCAAAAGTACCAATATGTAGTGAAGGACCACCAGTAAACCACTTCTGGTACTGTTAATTTTACATAGTCCTGAAAAATTACGGTAAAGCTAAAAACAAAACTTAAATAATCCTAGGCCTAATATAGCACATATATGTACTATATTAGGCCGAAGATAGCATGAATTCCTAGGAGAGGTTAAGCTAGGAGTAGGTCTTTTATTTGCATTGGTGTTAAAATGTTTCCCGTTTGTCCAAAATTAATAATACGAATGTCAACTTTCTAGCGAAACATCACTACATATTGGTACTCTTGACCAAATAGTTACTGTAAGTACTTTCATTTTAGGAGGCTGGACTGCACATGCACAGATATAATTTTATGAAGTCAATTGCAGTCCAACAGAAATTCAAACCTGTACTCATCTTTTTTAAACTCTTGATTCATGATCTTCATTACCAGGTTTCCACAAACTGAATAAGTGAATGTCAACAAAGATGCTAACAATAATTTACTGGCAAAAGCAAAATAAAATGGTTAATAAATAATCAAACTTAAAAGAATTAATGTACCAAGCAAAATAAACCTTTGAATTGAGATATACGAAAATGAGAATTGATATGAGCAATACAGTATGCAATTTAATTTAAACACAAACATTTTAAAAGCAAAATATATGATTGACACACATGCAAATTGGTTTAATTTGTGGTGCACAAGGTAAGGTGGTTTAAGGTTTTGCCCATGTGAATCAGCTCAGCTGAGTTCCTATATCACACAGCTTGAATTTCAAAATCTCCTCTTGCTTTTCTTGTATTTTATCCTCTTTCTCTCTGAATAGTATTTTTATAGCCCTCTCACTTTCTACATGTTGTCTTGTATCCAAAGATATCCAAATAACAACCCAAAGGTAATGTTGAAGGATGGCAATCTGTCACCTCTTGATCATATTCATAACATGAATGAGCAGGATGATGACTGTGTGGAGGTGCATCAGAAAAGAACACAAGAATAAAGAATTCTGCAGGTGGATTACTGCCCCACATAAACATCTCCTAGTTATATTCAATCACTAATACTCAAATTGATTAAATGATGCTTGAAACTTACCAGCAATTTTGCCTCATGATATTACTTAACCACTTTCTCTATAAATCTGTAAACCATTTAGAAATAAACAGTTTGCCTTTTTATGCTCAAAATCTAAGCTTTGAATGCATTGTTTCATGTTTTATTTTATGTTATTCATTATAACCCATTTTTATATCCTCCTTGTTAAACCCTTCACCAATTTGCCCACTTCAATCATGTTTCCCCTTACTATATTTTTTTTCTAGAGTACTGAAAAATTTAGTTTCCTCTTCGTTGGGCAAGTTCCTAACCTCTGGGATTAAATTATTCATCCTTCTCAATATTCACTCCAGTGAAATGGTTTCCATTATACAGAGCAGTGTCCAAAATAGTACTGCATGTCAGAACTATACTCACCTGTGCAAAAAATTATTGAAGTACAGTACTCTATCTGCTGAAATTTTATCAATACTGACATTGCAGTAATAGGCCAATACTACTGACATTGACACGTCTGTATACAGTAGTACTTTTAGTATTACACAGTAAAGATAAAGCTTAATGATAACATTAGAGCTTTTATTATTAATGCTTTTGATATAAAATCCAATACCCCATTAGCATTATTTTGAATATTGATATGGTTTTCTTGGTTTCAAATCACTACTCATCATGATTTGCAGATTCTTTCCATAACCAATTTTAGAAAGGTTGATGATCATAGACTGATATTTGTTACATCTTGATTTTCCTTCCCAGACTAAGAATTGTTTTGGAACTAACAATTGTCAGTACCAAAGTGCAGCTGCAGGGTTTTCAGTCTATTTTAAAGTCTACTTAGTTTATTGCAGCATGTATGAATCTTCATCTGCAGTATGTCCTGCCTTATTTTAGTCGAGATTAGCTAGATGGTCATCATTATCAACAAATTTGGAACAAAGTTTTGTTTACAAAGTAATGCTGTAAAACCTCATTTGTCTGTCTAGAAAGAAATTTAAATAGCAAAACAGACCACCAAACTATTGGTCACCCTAATACCCAATGTCAACTCTTCCCCAGTAGAGCTATCATGACTGGACCACAAACACCAGCAGTGACAAGTCTAAGGTGGGGCTAGAGACAATGACTTGTCACCTCTAACTGATACTGTTTCCTTCACAAAACAAAATATAATCCCCTATATACAGGTCAACTCCACAGTGGTAAGAATTGTATTGACATTACTCTGAATGTGGGAGAATACTTTAATTTAGTAATGTCTGTTATACTGCATATTTCTTGATACATATGGTACAAATCAGGACTTCTGGAGGGCATGAAACCATACAGTCATGCCTGTCCTTTATTTCCCCCTTGTATAACCTTCAGTTCAAGTAGTGTGACTTATATTTTCATAAAGTTTTCCTGGAATGCATTCTCTGGGCAAATGGAGGGCTCACTGTACACAAGTCAAATATATTTTGTTTTAAAAGAACATGATCACATATTGTATGAATAATGAAACACAAAAATATTCACATTTCAAAACTACACAACATATTAATGTTGAATGCTGCATAACGAATGCACATGTTTTTTCCTTCAAATTTATAATTGTTAAAAGTATTTTCTATGTTACTACTGAGATTTCATTTTAGAATATAGAAGTGTAGCTATACCTGCAGCATTCTTACATTTCAAACCTGTATATGCCAACATCTATTAAGGTCAAAGCTGATCTTAAAATATTAATGTACTTATATGAGTTGTACTACCATTAATACATTAATAACACCCTATAGTCATGGATACTCAGGAATCCTAAAGGCTTCATCCAACAGAATTAAATTTCATTTGCAGTACAGTATTGAACAAAGAACAAATTTGTAAACTAATAAAACTACTATTAAACAGAACTGCATGCTATTTAACAACATTCAACTAAAATATAACTTAACATTTAAATTATTAAGCTATGAAAGAGGTAATCCTGAAAATGATAATTATAAAAGAATATATATTCAGTAACATAATTCTAGGTTATAAAGAGCATTATACGAACAATGAGGAAACAAGGAAAACATGGGAAAGTATATGAACATGGGGGATAAAAAAGCGGGCAAAAGGGAGGCACGTAAGAGGGCTAGCAATGAGTACACCAGAATCAGGAGGGCAATAGAGCAGCAGTTTGAAAACAACATTGTGAAAAAAGCAATTTAAATAATTATATGATTAATTAAATATTAATATATGATATTGAATTATATTATTAACACTTTCGCGCACCGGGCGCGCGAGCCCCGCATTATCCCAGGTGGGTTTCAACGTTTCACGGGAACACGCGGTAATTCTGAAAAGTGTATACTATTTTCAACTTTGTCACCTCAATTCTCGTCCAAGGTTTTTCAATTTGGTATCATTGTGTTCGCAATAGAATTCTCTACAGGACTAAAGGCATATTAAGTCCAAAAGCCTGGCATACCATCCACAACAAACAGAGAAAGTGAGTATGTGTTACCCGGGAACGCGCAAGAGCAATAAAATGTGTACACTCTTTTCACTTTTGTCACCTCAATTCCCATCCTAGGCCTTTCACTTTGGTATCATTGTGTTTGCAATAGAATTCCCAACAAGATTATATGCATATAGAGTAAAACCACAGCTCGTCCCACCCACCAACAAGATGAAAGTGGCCCAGAAGGAGAGCACAGTGCCACCCCAAGGCGCCTCTCATTACATTAGTGAGCGCGGTAATACTGAAAAGTGTATACTCTTTTCCACTTTGTCATCTCATTTCTCGTCCTAGGTTTTTCAATTCGGTATCAATGTGTTTGCAATAGAATTCTCTACAAGACTAAATGCATATAAAGCCCAAAAACCCAGCGAGAAAGTGAGAAAGTAAGAGCATATTACCCAGAAGCGCGCAAGAGCAATAAAATGTGTACACTCTCTTCACTTTGGACATCTCAATTCTCGTCCTAGGTCTTTCATTTTGGTAACATTGTGCTCGCAATAGAATTCCCTACAGGAGTATATGCAAATTTAAAGTCCAAAAGCCAGGTGTACCACCCACAGCAAACAGAGAAAGTGACGGAGCGTAACCCCAGTGAGCGCTAATAAAATGGGTATGCTCTTTTTCAACTTTGTTACCTCAATTCTGGTCCTAGGTCTTTAATTTGGTATCAATGTATTTGCAATGAAATTCCCTACAGGAGTATATGCATATAATATCCAAAACCGCGGTGCCCCCCTCCCGAAGCCGCCACCAATTTGCTGCCACCGCCGACGCAATGCTGTGTCGTTACCGAAAATGAGTCTACTAAAAAACAATGCAATGCTGAGTCGTTACCGAGTGAAAGTGTTAATAGCAGTTAGTTAGGCATACACACACAAGCATACTGTATATTCGAGATTCAACTTTGGTCCTAGTAACTGTTCTGGTAATATACTGCCACCGAACAACTGGGAAAGCAAGATAAAAATATACAGTAGTTCATTTGACACTTTTGCATAATACAATATTTTAGGACACTATTGTGAGAGTTATTTACTGTATTTCTTAAGTGCATGACTTGCACGTGATGGTGACTGAAGAAGAGGTGCACGCTCACCAGATAACTGCATTGCAACATTCCCAGTATCAGATTCCTCTTGAGAAGACTCATTTTCAACCTGCAGTTGTAATAATACACATTAATGCAAAACAGTATAGTATCAGAAAAAAGAATAATGACACACTAAATATTAAAGCAAGACAATAATAAGAAAAACAAATGTATTAATTCAACATTACATGAGTGAGACATATTTCCTCTATACATTCTGTTAAATGTAAAATGTCAAATACTGTACAAGCAAGGCATAAAAAAAAATGAAGAATATCAAGTTTAGTAACATGTCTAATATTTAACCACTTAAAAAAAAACTGTGTATTGTACCAATAAGTTGGTTTAAGTTTACTTCATTAAAATGTAGTGTGAATTCATTTATCCGGGGTGCCAATAAAGAAAATCTTTTCCAATCCAGAATATATAATCTGGTTATGTAAATAATACATTCGGATTCAAACCAGATAAAAGAAAATGCATCAAGTGGTTTCTTGAGTAACCACATCATAGTTACCTGCATATACTCACCTGTACTTGTATGAAAAATTTACAAAAATAATGTAACCAAATAAACCTTTCCAAAGTGGTCTCATCCTATATATAGTGAAAGATGGGACATATAATATTATTAATGCAAGAATCCATAAATGACAAAGGAAACTTGAAACTTGTGTTTATCACTGACCCAGAAAGTAGGAGGCAGGAAAGTATCTCAGTCAGCCTCACAACCACTTAAAAGGCCTGCCAGTTAAATACTGTTTACATCGTCACTGGTGTGTCTTCTCTTCTCTTGCCATCTTCCTTTGTTTCTTATGCACATAAACAACACACCCACAATATTTTTCAAAAAAATGTTACATATGAATAACTTATTAATGCTCCTTCCTCCATTCGTTACTCCTCCCTGCCACTGTCTGCTGCCTCCATCACCACAGTACACCTTGCTCGGTACACTTGTTTTGGGATATTTGTGTGATATATAATAAATTAATGTGGCAACATAATGTTAGTGTAAGAGGGTAGATATACAGTCTATAAACTAATGCATTCCTATTTCTAAATATATACAAATTAACTTACCTGTTCATCTTCAATATTGGAAATGGTATCCTCCAATTCCTGAGAGGGTCTCTTTCTCCAGAACTGCCATGTTACTGTCCTTGGCTTAGATATGGTACTATCAGAATCCCAGCTGCGATACACAATACAGTTGAAGACAGCTTGTAGAGGATTTAGAATTGCCTGTGCACACAAGAGAGGACACAAGTCATCAAAAAGATTTGTTATTATTGCACTTCATTTACACAACACATGAACTATGCTTAACTAACCTGAGGAACGGCATAAGAATATACAGGGGTGTAACAAAAGTCTGTTATAATAGGAAAATTTAATTTTATTTATTTTGTTATTTATATGTATTTATTTATTTATTTGTAATTACTTCATCAAATGTTCAAATTGACCATGTGCTACATTCATACAGCCATCGATATTCATTTTGAGACAGATCCACTCTCAATCTTTGTTATATAAATTATTGTTTACTGTGTTCAGCCAGTACAAATCTACATCTACATGATCTTTAGGAAAGACACAAAGATGCCTATCCTAAATGAAGCAAGTATATATGAAGAGGTGAGAAGCAACTTATATTACTGGTACTTACCATTAAATACCAAATGACAAGGATGAGGGATCTGGGGATATCTTGCCATGTTGACCACAATACAATGCCATTTATGATATTTGGTAACCAACAGAGATAGAACACGGCATTAATGAGGAAGAATTTCTTTAGGAGACCGTTAACCACTCGTCGCTCTGATTGTGTAAATCTGTTAATAAGATTCAATATAATATTTAAATTTATGTACTTTTTATTTCCTATTACTGTACTGTCTATAATTAATATAACAAAGAATGTATAATCAAGATCCATTTAAAATTTGCTGTTAATGCCCTTTTCTGGTAGGGCCTCAGTAGCTTACTGGTGCTTACATTCGGGTATGGCTAAGCCTGAGGATCATGCCAAGCCTCCAAGAGCCATGCTGGCTTATTAGGAGCCAGGACCAGAATGTTGCTCTCTTTACATGGTGAAGGGAGCATGGGGAGATCTACCCAAAATTGAGGAAATCCACAGAAAGGTTAAGCAAAAAAAAAAAAAAAAAACCTACTGCTTGAATAAAGTTAAGAAAACAAGGCAAATGACAGTTTGCATGGAAAAATTATAGAGACATGGGTACAGAGGAAATAGGGAGACACTTCAGAGTCAGAAAATGAGGACACCAGAATTAGGAGAGTAACAGAGCAGACATTTGAAAATGCTACGGCAGGGATTGTGTTACCCATTAACTAGAGCCTTCAACATAACACTCAAGACTGGAGAACTACCGGAAATCTGGAACATACAAGTGGAACACCTAGTCAACAAGCGCACCAAAACCCTCACCCCATCCAGAAATCTGAGGGCACACTTGGTGCTGCACCAGCCAGAAGCTGAAGCCAGAGCCACCAACAGCAGATGAAACACCTGGCTAAGTGGATGAAAGAGTAATCACCACCAAAACATGCATAAACTTCCTTCTTTTGGAAAAGTTGGAGAAACTGGGGTAGCAAACAGGAATGAGAGCGGCCAAGCCGGCTCCTGGAGAGAAGGTAAGGTGACTGTCCTGCAAAGTTGACCAGCTGCATAGAAGGCATTCACCATAACCCATATGAGTGGAGCAAACAGTTTAGAAACTGTTGTCTGCTGGAGCAGCAGACAACAAGGCACAAGAAAAAGAATCTTCAGTTATGCAACCGAGATCAACTCACATCTGCACAGATAAAATCTATAACATCCCACAGGAACAAAGAACTTCTGCCAAGCTGATTGAAGTCTTGTATTTCACCATTCAGCACAGTTATCAACATACCCAAACACTAATTACCGAGACACACAACATGTATAACAACACCTGCGATAGGTCACCAGGTTCCCCCCCCCCCCCCTCTGCCTGAAGTATGAGAAAGAGACCTGGGTGCCAAAGCCTGAGTGCTCAGTGATCACTAAGCTAACTGCCAGGTCACTTGTTCCAGGTATAGGTCACTTTGGCTTGACTAAAGAAGATGGGAGATGCCTGTGAGATTTTAAATAAAGACAAAAATAAATAGTTACAACAAACCTGCTAAGGTGTGAGTTGGTGGGTACACCACAAGCCTCTCACACCCCATCCCCCACCCACTTTCATAGGATAAATAAGATTGCAAACAAAATACAATACAGGAAAAGAAAGGTAAACATATTCCAAAGATATTTAGATTACTAATACTGTACAATTATTATAGTTTTGCTAAAAAGTTAATATAGTATAGTATAAAGTATAGATATAACAATAAATTGCAACATTTTTGTTACCTTCTTGTTATTTGCACAATTATAAATTAAGAAATCAATAAACTAACCTGCCTCTTGCTGACATAATTTGCTTTTCAACTCTGGAAAAAGCTAAGCAGTATAGTATTGGGTTGCCTATCATGACAACCACAATAGGAATGAAAGAGCTCAAGTAGTTGGGAAGGAAACGAATGTATGGGTTCACACTTGAACTATGGCAGCTGAAAAACAAAGAAAATATATATAACAGCATTTTATAAGTCACTGTTTATGGCATGTACATTAATGTAAGAAATAATAATAATATCCTTGTACTACTACTACTACTACTACTACCACCACCACCACTAAAGTGGAGCATCTTAAAGCTGCATTTTGGCTACCTCAAAACTCCTATAAACTGCACCAAGATATGCCACTCAGATTGCTCCATTAGGCACAGTACATCCTGGTCAAAGGATGAGTTTTCATTCCCCAACTCCAACAAAACTGAATAAACCTGAAACAAAGTGAAATCTATATTAGCTAGTCTATCTAGCACCATAATACCAAAGCAAGAGATCCACACACTTTATATATGGGTCATCCAACAAAATCCTTAAGACTTCTATGCATTACTCCTGCTATACTTAGTCTTGGCTACAAGCACTTATTTCAGAGAATTTGTACCACCTGCTGGAGTAGATATGAATACATATAAACTATCACCAAAATTACTCACATCCCTACATTATTATGTAATTGCATGCCAAATAATCCAAGAGTTTAAAGACAACTCCATTACTAATATTTAAAAAAATATTCAAGCATTTAATCAAGGAAATCATATTACCCAAAATCTTGGCAATGTATTCTAAGTTGCCAACTGTAGATAGTGCACATGTAGTACTATTTTTAAGCTCACACTGCCTTTACTTTCTTAACCGTTTGTGCAACATTATAGTCTTTCAACCACAGCTTATCATGGTATGACAATAGGGCTTTCATAAGCTAATTCTGCTAAATTAACTCAAACTGCAAATAACTGTTGATGATATGATAATATATATGATAAACTGTAAATAGTTCATTGATTATCTAACTTAATTAGCCAAACAAATAATTGAGTGTAGCTTCTGAGCCCATTTTGAGCCTTTCAAACCATTTTCAGAAGATAGATACAGGATGCATAATAAATTAACTCAGTAAAAACTAACTAAACTCCCTCCTGATAATACACTGCCTCCTAGTCTTGTTCCCAACCACATCTAGTGTGCTATTCAACTCAACCTGTACTTCCTCACACAATCATTGTGTCTGGTCAACTTCTTCCTAGCCTCACCCCATATTTTATGTGAACAAACAATCTCTTCATCTGAAGATTAAACTATACACCAGAAGTCGAGGAGACGATGATGTTTCGGTCCATCTTCTACTATTATCATGATGCATGAATATAGTTAAAAATGTGAACAAAACACAAGAATTATCTGCACCAACTCACAAATCATTGCTCACCAACTTGTGAATTATTTTCACACTACAGTACATAATTTTTTTGTAATAAGACATGCTCATGCTAAACAAAACTGTGCCATGAAAGGATCTACTGTACATTTAATACTAAATAATCAGAAATTCTAGTGTTTGAATTCAAGCCTAATCCCCCCAAAATATAAATATATATAAATAATACACTTCAAAAATTTTCCAGTAAGCATTATTCTGTAAAGTATACATGAATGAATACTTTGGCAACACCATCTAACACTACAGGAAAATGTGTATTAAATAATGGTGCTTCTGTGTGATGAACAATGGAGTTGTAAGTCCAGAAACTGTATGAATAACCACAGCATGCATAGCAAATGACTACTACTGGCAATCAACATGCAGTCATGCACACTAACCACTCAAAACGTTCTACTGAAATGATTTAGTTAGCATTTTTTATGAAATAGTGCATTTGTTTAGGAAGAATCTTTTACATCTTGTATAAACTTACTTAAGGTCAGGAAGGTAAAGGACAAGAAGACCAATTAAACATAACACAACAGGCACAGTCCAAGACACAAGGTGATAAATACGTTGATTTATTCGTTTGTCTTGCATCACCAGTTTAACATCGAGTGCATACAAGAAGGTCCAACAGTAAGTTGCAGTGTAGAAATAGTGAATCATGGCCTGAAACAATGGCAGGAGATTAAATGTTATCTACTTTAAGTAAGTTTAATCGTATTTCCATTATCACCATCTAGCCATCAAACCTTAGCAAAATATGCTTGAAATGTGAGAGAATACAGATAAATACTATAATTCAATTCCTGGCAGCTTTAAAATGACATTAAAAAATAAAACTACGAGTTAACATGAAAATCTACTTAAGCCACATCCATTGGCTGCTTCCTCAAATAAGATCACAATGTGTTCTTGAAGATCAAATAGTGAGGTAAATCAGTGGCAGCATTCAGCGCTACAAAAATTGTCATGTATATATGTAGGACTGTACAGTATTGCATTGAGCAAATGGCACTCTGACATCACACAAATCTAGGTGTGAGGGCAAATCATAAACAAGATTGCCTCATAATGAAAAGAACTTAAAATTTTGAGCTAAAAGCTGATATTCCTGTGCAGACACTCTTGCACCATCCTCAAGGATACAGAGGAGAAGCACGTATCACTTTTAGGAAACCATAGTAACAAGTCAATTGCAGCAAAATGGAATATTTTATAACGGTCACACCACGAACCTAAAGGACTCATATTCATACGTCTATTGTTCTTTATTTCTCTATTAGTGTAAAGGAAATGGACACTGTTAAAGTCAATTAAGAGACAGTAACTTACTAAGTGTTACACCTAATTAACTATTCAAATTCTCAGGTTAATCAATGTGTGGGTCTCAGTATTAAGAGCACTGCCATGGGCAGTGCATGCTGCAACAGCTCACAGCACCAGCATGCAGCTTGTGTCCACAGCATCATTTATTAATGATAAAATAAATAACTGTGAATATTTAGTGATGATAGTGTCACAGAAGACCCTGACTGTGATAGACTATAAACAACTTTCAGATATCAGTGGTTATGGTGTTCACAGTGCGAGGCAGACACCCACAGCACACAGCCATGGTTCTGCAAATATATGCATAATGAAATGGGGCCTCATGTTCCTTTAGAAAATAAATCAGTAGAAAATTATTCATGTTCATGATTTAGTGACCAGGATTCTGATAATAGCAGCAATATAGTGGCTAGAGTTAGCAATGTGCAGAGAAAATTAGGAGGCATGTGCAAAAAAATGAAAAATCAAAAGAAATTATTTCCTTATAGAATTATTAATTTGGGTGTAAAATGTAAGAAAATTTAAAAATATAAATATGTAAAATAATAGAGCTTCAGTCTCACACATGAGGGTCCACGGTTCAAGACTCCTAGAGCCCCAGTGAATGGAATATAAATATGTAATTTCTACTGATGTGACAAGGTTTAAAGTTTTTTGGATTAACCTCTGACTGTAAATTTTGGGCTGTACAGTATTGATTAATTTCTCCAGTGACTTTCTCTGCCCAATATGACCCTGCAGGAATAATTAAAAAGTTAATATAGTACCAAATTGTATGTCACTCGTTTGACAACATGATTGTTCATGGACTCAGTGGTATCTTACTTAAGAAAGCATCTGAATGTAACAGCCCAAAAATAAGCTTTGGATACATATATTGTATGCACTTACAGTATATGGTTATATATTGAAGACCTTATCATGAAAATAACACAATAATAAAATTAATTTTCTATAATATAGTATTCATAATTTTAATTATTTTTACTTTTGATAATTTCCTGCCTGAGAGGGGTAGCTTCAGGCAAATCTCACCTAAACATCCCAACTGCCTGTAAGTTTTAAAGACTCCTAGGGGAATATTTGAAACATTTGCTAAAGAATTTTACATCCTGGTTTGACTTTTATGCAAGTGAGGCAATAGCTGCTTCCTTAAACTGAGGCACAAGAATTTGATAAATGAATGTGGATTCCCACACATAAAGAAGCAAGAAAATAACGTGATGACCGTAGATTGCCCCATGGTGCTGCAATGTGAGCATAATAAGCGGAAGAAATCATTATTCAGCGGGGAAAACACTTATTTTCTTGCTAGTGAAAAAGTGAAAATGTATTAGCAAGTTACACAAAATAAAATTTACTTACTGAAGTTATTATGCATACACACTGTCCAAGAGAGCTATCGTCTGAGTCTGAACCAAACGAATCATCAGCAAGCCAGGTAACAGACCGGATGAGAATGCCTATAGAAAACAAATCAATTGTATAAGATTTGTGCAAATAGCACAATATTTTCATCTCTACTATCACAACACCATTTCTTGTCAAATTAGAATAAATAACTTTTCTTATGTTCAGTATACAAATTTAATTATTATTCAATCCACAAGCCAGGAGAGAGGCATGCAGTGTCAATTTAAAGATCAGGACTTTAGAAAACAATGGTACACTGGAGTAGTAGTAGTAACACCTAATGAATATCAAATACACTACCTAAAATGAGCACAAACTGACAAGATTTACAGACATACCCTTTTTCAGTTGCAAGGTATATAGTCTTGAAAATATATAAAAGTAAAGTTGTGCCCATTTATGTTAAATTTCTATCTGATGGATAATAAACAAATGGATGATACACAAACGAGTTAATATATCATCTTTGAATAAAAAGTAATAAAATAATGGTCTAAAAATCAAACAAAGTAAGATTTATCATAAAAATTATAACTCATTCCAATATAATAAAAATATCTTCATACTCTATTCAGACTTGTGTGTTAAAATATGAAATACATTCATAGACCAATTATCATACCAAGAGATGCCATCAAATCAGCCAAAGCCAGCCATCTGATGATGAGACGACCTCGTGTTTTCAAGAATTTACGACTTCCGTTCATTGTGCCAGTACCTGCTGTCCGTGGAAGTACCTGAGGGTTGTAACAACTGGGTAAGCCCATTCTGCATATACTGTGTTAATTCTTAATCTAATTAAGTCCATTTAAGCTTATATTGTATATACAAAATTAATTTTTAATTAATTTTACACTAATCACAAAGCAATGTACTGTATATTTAATAATCCCTAAATGAATCTGTGCTATAATCAAACCAAAATTATTATTTTAGGGAAATTTATGTTTTAAATATAATAATCCTAGAATTATCAAAATGTTATTTTAAATGTTACAATATACAGTGCACAATAAGTCATCCTCGTCACATGTGAATGCCACTTTGCCAAATCGTGCCAATTACCCGAGAGGCAACTGTTGCATAAATTAGCATTCCATTACATTTAACAATGGATTTCTGGTCAGCACTTAAGCTTCCTGGAGTTTATGTACTGGTGTAGCCAAGCCTTAAGAATTACACCAGGACCCCAAGACCCATGCTAGCCTATCAGCACTCATGATCAGTATCTCTACAAGGCTAGGAAAGCTTTGAAATCAAAGATCCACTCAAAATTGAACAAAACCCACTAGAAAGATTAGGCAGAACAAAATAACATACCAGCATTTCCTGAAAGAAAGAAATTAGCCATGAGGCAAAACATGAACAAAAGAGTGTTGCAGCAATCAAGCAATTCTAACCATGATATGCCCAACCACCACCAGATGGCAGCCCGGTCACCTGGAGGTCCCAGCCAGCAGCTCCCCCCCCCTCACTCATGAATCACAGGTACTGAAACCCAATCACCTCCATGGGAAAAAGGAAACAGAGCAGGAACAGGGAGCATTTTAGGGCCTCTGCACCCTGACCTGATTCATCAGGCAGAGAATGCACACACTACTTGCACAAAGCAAGTGAGCAAAAGTTGTGACTGGCCTGGGCCCTGGGTAACCTGTGCTTCTATTGATGGGGGTTGAACTCATCAAGGTTTGTGCTGTTCGCCCGAAACAATGATCATTTGGTTTATTTACCTCAGACTACTGTATTTTTTCTTTAGGCAGTAGTTCATTTTGTTTTGCCTATCTTTATTTTCATCTTGGTATTGGGTTGATATCTGATCCCCCAAGCTCCCCTTCACTATGTAGAGAACAACAGATTGGTCCTGGCTCCTGGTAGGTAAACATCGGTGTAAAGAAATCTGGTGCACGTTGTAGTGAGTAATCCTTATACTCGCCCCATTATCTCATTATCTTAATAGCATAACTAATTAGCACTAATTACAGAAGCTAAAATTATGATACTCATTATTTTCTTAACTTTGGGGGTCTTTGCAATAAATATAATCCTTATGAATACTGTATACTGTAATTCCTTTCTAATAAAAATGTGTATCTTCATTATCCATTCTTCAAAAATATTTCCCATTTTCTGAGCATCATGAAGACAAATAAAACTACTGTATCCTCTGAGCTCTGAATAAAAATATACAACTGCTAAAAGGAAAGGTATGATAATGTATCACTTTCACTGACAATAGTTATGTTGCACTTCCTTACCCACACAAATATTTAGAGTGAGGAATTTTGGATTAAAACATTCATACAACATTCATTCATACTATCTTGTACACATTCAATAGCACTCTGAATTTATAGTGATGATAATAGTTAAATATGAAAATAATAAGGATTTACCTGATAGACTGCACCAGTTATGCCAAGTATAGATGCAATAATGGACACCAGATTATATGGCAATGACTGAAAATCAGCAAGGAAATCTTTGCTGAAAGCATTTTTTGTAGACAGACAACAAAGTGATTCAATTGTTGGACTAGCCATGACTGGGAGCTGTGATGCTGTGCAAATGAATATCCAGAAAGACTATACTTGTTTATGTATGGTCAGATGCATGATTTCCCTGTGGATAAAATAACACAATTAGAAAAATATTAGCTGTAGCTTTGAGTACCTACTGATTAATTATATTTCTAATCATGTCCTTTCATATATTTGTCAAATAAATATGCCAATAATAGTTGGCTGTTGCTTTGTAAAAATCTTAAGAGAAGAAACTACATTCTTCTTACTACTTAGCAGAAAATTAATTTATTAGATACCAAACATGACTGTCCTACAGTGGAGATCTGCAATGAGTATATCATTAGCAAAACAAGAATTGTGGCTATTTTAAAGTAAAAATATTATCTTAAAATTTTATTCTGCCAATGAATCTAGTTAACATGAGTAAATATAAAGGCAGTGTATATATACATGTTTGGCTAATATCAAGGTCCCTCTCTAAGGTCCTTAGAGACCTTAGAGGACCTTAGATTTCAACAGGATGACAAAGTATGATTCCACAAGAAAGAGATGCTACCCCAACCCATCCACTCACTAAATATGTTGCACATGTTGCAGAATCAACCAATCTATTAAGAATCCAACATACATTAATAGTTTAATTTAAAGCACTGTAATATTGATGTTTTCTATGCATCAGCCTCAATTGCTTAGGTGGACTGCTTGAGTTCATGTGTTTCTGATCAGGCAAAACAGTTGTATTTTTTACAGTGGCAAATCAAGAATGAGTTAGCTACCCACTTATTTCCATAAAATGTTAAAGTCTACTCTCAATAGATATAAAAGTCTTATTAAAACAACTAAAATTTTACTGCCATGATATTCCTGATAATGCTTGTTTCCAGGACATAAAACAAAGAAATATAAAAGTAAGCTTTTCTATTGAATTACTGTACCAGGTATTTAAAAATTATGTTCTTTTATTAAAGAAAAATTACTGTTCACTGACAATTTACATTCTTCACTCTGAATATTTTTCCTCAGAAAATATCCATTTATACTAATATATTGGCATGAGTCTGCAGGCTGTTACAAGCAACAGTCTTCTAGATCAAGTTATAACAATAGCCTGGCCCCAAAATGGGCTCGGGGAGTAAAAGAACTCCCAGAACTCACTCTTAAGTATATTTCAGGCAAATGCAGTAACTATTAAATTTTCTTATTAAAAAAACTGCACAAAATTAATAACACTGAAGGGAAGTCATCAGATGATTAATAAGAACTGCAAAGCACCAAACTAATTACACATTTTCAAATACTGTACTTAAGCATTAGTTCACTTTACTCCCACTGCAATCACTATCTTGCTTGTAAGCTCTGTACAGCAAATGCTTACAAAATCTGAACCATGGCACATGGCCAGCGATGAGCATGACTTGCACAGTCATTCAAGTAACAAAGCCACCTGCCATGCTTCCCACTGCATGAGAACTCCTAGTCATCACATGCTTACCGACACAGCACATGTAGCTCGCACTAGTATACATTCTGGTACAGTATATCCAAAGGCAACACCAAGTTGTATTAAAATGATATACAAAGGAACAAAAGACAGTACTGTACTGTAATTATATGACTAATTATTTTTAATAATAAAACTATAAAATTAATAATAAAACCAAGTGGTACTAAATTAACTCCATGTAACCTACCTTACCCCCTAAATGTCAACCCATGTCTTGCTTTTGTTAAACAATGCTGTTTGTTCTCCAACTTGTACAATTGCTGATTTCTGCCATGTTCCCTCCCCCCCCCCCCCTTTTTATTTTTTATTCCTTTTTTCAACACAATTTATACCTAATCTCAATTACTATTAAGTTTTAGTCTAAGTGTTCCCCCCCCCACACCTTGCCCGAAACACTGTACGTATTTCTGGCTTTAGGTATTGTATGTACTGTACTAGCTTTATCTATAAATCCAACATTATGTTTGTAAATCAACTATGTATGTACTTTTCCTGAATAAAAAATGTATTTATTATTTATTATTTATTTAAAACACACTTATACAATACAAAAAAATTTGGTTACCTTATATAATCCTATTTAATTTTTTTATTTTTAACAGATTTAAGATTAATAGCTGCGCTTATTTTATCTTGCAAGTACGCCTATAGTACAGTACAGTATTTATAATTTGCTTATAGCTATATACAGTATTCTTTAAAAACTCCTCAGTTGAAGTATTGCATGTTGAAGTCTTAGAAAGACAAGACTACTTGTAAAATTTACAGAAAAATTCTACAAGATGCATTAGGCCAAGCAACAGCCTGTTGGACCAAGCTCCAAGCAACTCTGCAACAGCCTGTTGGACCAAGCTCTCACAAGTCAAACCTGGCCTCTTAGGGCAGGCTTGGGGAGTAGAAGAACTACTCCCAGAACCCCATCAAACAGATATCAAGCAGGTCATTATACCAGTGAAGCAGGAACCAAATATTTGCACTGAAAAACTAAAACAATTATAAAGTTTTCTTAGCAATCTTATACAAAATTAAATAGGTGAAAAGTCAATAGAAGAAATAGCAATGCACAAGGGAAAGAAGACTGAAAAGATTTAAAATGTAGAAAAAATAGTGTTTAATGTAATGAACTCCCCTTTTCTGCTGGAATACTCGGTTACTGCCCATTGTTATAGCACTGGAGCTGCTGAGACTAAAGGAATTGCAGAAAGCATCCAAGACACACTTGATCCTACCAGGAGAAAGAACCAGAATCTGGTATGCTCTACAAGACAAGATGAGCTTAGAAATGAAAGTTCAACCCAACACTAAGAAATTTTACTAAAATTTATAAACGCATCAAAACAAACAACTGCTTGAAGAAAATTATTAAAGTAATGAAAGGGAAGGGGAAGGGAATTATCAGGGGAAATCACCAATCCATTATGACTATATAGTACTCGGAAGGGATCAGAATAACGATTTGGGATGGGATGGAGGAGGGGAGAAAAGGAATGGAACCCAACCACTTGGATATTCGGGGATTGAACGCCGACCTGCATGAAGCGAGACCGTCCAGCCCAACACAACATCGTGGGCTGGACGGTAAACCTGAGGAAAGTTAAGCTTTTTTTAATCTCTTAATAAGAAAGGTTTATAATTTCTAGGATTAACTTTGTCATCCTTCTCTGTATGTCCAAGTGAATTTATATTCATTCTATAGTATCACAACCAAAACTGAACTGAATAATCTAAATGAGGCCTAACAAGGAGATAAAGCTGAAGAATAATATTAGATATCTTGCTGCTAATACTTCTAGAAATAAATCACAGTACCCTATTGCCTTTAATCTATACATTTATACATTGATTATTGGTTTAAGATTCCCTACTAATCATGACTCTTAGATTTTTCTCACATTTTGACTTTGCAGCTTCAACAATGTCCAGCTGCTATTTGGGAATTTATTATTATTATTATTACTGAAGCTTATACAAACTGTTGAATGAAATGAAATAGAACCATTTAATTTTTCAATATTCTATAAATGTATAGTCATATGGATACAAGTCACATCATATGTAAGACCGTTACCAACAGATTTTATAACCTATGTAACTACTCAACTAAACCTAACCCAACCCAAACTAAGCTAACCTAACCCAACATAACTCACCGCAGCTTAGCTAAAGCCAACTAATTCTAACCTAATGATATACTGTATATGGTTTTGGAAATTAGAAAACAAGCTTCATAGAACCATCTTGAGTATGATTTGACCACACCCAGGTCATATACACAGCCTATGACCCTCTGGTCATTTTGACCATAAATTCTAAATTTTAAAAACTGTATACTGTGCAGAATTTCATAATTGTATTGTATACTCACTGTATAAAATGTGCCACTTACTTTTATTATGGGTTGGGTCAGGCTGGATTTTAAAATCTATATACAATACAGTATAACCAAACCTTTTCCTGTATGCATCCACTCTATATGTCCAGTATTAAAATTAAGTATTAGATCTAATTTATTAGCAAGTATTTACCACAATCAACCATGGCAAAATATTGTTTTTAAATGAACACAAATTTATTATTTTAAATTAACACAAAATTCACAATCGAGAATTCCGGGTTCGAATCCCAGGCGGAATAAAAATGGTTGGGCACATTTCCCATTATCTAAAGAATCTGTTCACCTAGCAGTAAATAGGTAGCCAGGAGTTAGTTTGTTGTGGGGTTGCATCCTAGGCGGGGTCAGTAACTCGGTCTTAGGGGAGGACCTCGATATAAGACTAACGTGTATAAATATACTGTGGCTGTCTGTCTCCCGACACAATGAATTATTATTATTATTATTATTATTATTATTATACACTCTGGCTGCCTGTCCCCCGATACAATGAATTATTAAATTATTATTATTCTAAAGTCCAGTCACAACTTAAATAATTTCCAAAACTTTCACATCTTGAAAGATTTTAATATAATTACAATACGGAACTAATATATGTATATCGCACCAACATTCTGTACCTGTCATCACTTTTCGTATATAGTATAGCACAACTTAGGAGAGCGTCGTAACCCGCCTCGGTCGACGAGAACTTGTTTACATCACATGTTTCCAGCAGTGTTGCCAACATGGACTCTTATTAGTTTTACGCTAATCGTAGCACCTTAGGCGGCGAAATGGAGCTAATCGAGTCTTAGCTAAATGAATTGTGGGGTTCAGTCCCTGAGTTCATTTATGTGCCTCTGTAACCCTTTTCACTACCGCCCACAAGATGGGTATGGGGTGCAAAATAAATGAACTAAACTAACTCTAATTTATTTACATTACTCGCTAATTGAGCACCAATAAGATGGAGTCTCATCAAGACCTTTTATGCCTTCTGTAATTCTTTGGAGCTCCCGGTAAAGGATATTGGTGCATTCGTCTGGCTATGGGTTAAACAGCAGCTGCTATTGTCTGTCTTGCACTGGAGGTTGTTAAGCTTGAAGTTTAACAACTTGGTCCTTTTAAAGCAGTGGCCTACCTTGGCCTGTGGCCTGGATCAATATCTTTCATTTTTAACATTATTTTAAGAGTCGATGATATCAGTCGTGTTACGTCAGGTTTGTAGTGCTGTCAGTCTTGAGGCCCTCAATTTTAGTTCTTTGTCGCCCTGTGGTTTACATAGTATTGATACTAATGTACTTGCCGACAAATATATTTAGAGGTTTTAATCTTTAAGCATAAGATGTAATCCACTTACAATTTCACTATTAATACCAATTCAGATATTGGTATTGCCTGCAGCCGTTTTCGATCTACGGATTTTGACTTAAAAAACAGGGAGGCCAGTAGTTTTTTATGGCATAGGGTCCTTGTTATTTTTGTGGAAATAATAAGACTTTATTCAATACTTCCAGTTCAAGAGTGTTAAGGAGAGTTTGTAACCGGTTACTACTGTTTGTATCGATGTTAATGACAGCCACCTTATCAGTTATTAGTTTAAGCTGGTTTAGTATTTCTCCCTGAGGCGAGCCCAATTCAAAGATAGTACTGTACTAGAACTTCTTTTTATCCCTTTGAAAATGATTAATGACAGTTCTGTTACTCAATTACCACGTCATTAAATGTCCTTTGACACCAAACAAAAAATTTAAGAAGAGTTCATGTCATAAATTTGGAAATCAACGATAATTACGTGTCTTTTGTCCTTCTCTTCTGTGTACTTCGCCCAGGATGAAAACCATGCTAGTTAGGAGCAAGTTATTTTTTTTATTTGCGACATATTTTTTTGCGACATATTTATTTGCGACATTTTTTTATTTGCGACATTTTATTTGTGTTGTATTGTATTGTACAAAAACCTGCTGGAAAAAATCCTTTCAGGAGCCTTGTGCATTCAGGAAGGTTATTCCTGCAGTGATATTAGCTAAATCAGGTATGAGTTTGGCTTAGGTATAGGGATTATGAGTTCCTGCGTCCAGCGGTTACGTTTTAAGTTTAGTTCATTTATTATGCGTCCCATACCTATTCTGTGGGCGGTAGTGGAAAAGGTTATAGACACTTAATGGGCTCAGGGACTGGGTCCCAAAATTCATTTAGCTAAGCAAGGTACAGTCTTGATAAGTTAGTTACACAGTATAATATATATTGTTATATCAACAATAGATTCGATAACGAACAAAGGTACAATCAATAAGCTAAACAACTTACATATGTAGTGAGCTAGTTTCATAATTTGATGTTTATCATGCACACCGCCCCGCCATCCAGTGCGCAGCGGTGGAAAAGTTACAATCACCCTAGCTTATTTACTGCCAGATATACTTATAACCGAGTCTAAGCCGAGCAGTACTGATATTGGTTGCAACCCGTTCCTGCACTTTCTTACAGTCAATATTGACTTATTAAATAAGTGCATATGTGACATACTAATTTATTTGTGAATATTTTAGTTTACCTTGAAAAGCTTCATAGAAAACACCGACCTCACCTAACCTTCTTAGTATGTTAAGATAAGCATCTTATTGCTTCGTAATTACAATTATTAATTAACCTATACCTATAATAGGTCTATCTATGGGTCTGCTGATTTGATTGGATGATCCATAGATGTGTGGCTCAATTCTTGGATGATAGTATGATAGATGAAATTGTTAGTATAAATTTCATGTTGTTTCATGAAAAAGTTGTTTTGCACTTTTTTTCTTAGTTCTCATTTCACCAGAGGCAATAGTGTTAACAAGATGTTAACTCTGGAATTCTCATAGCTGATTTTTGCTGGCTGATGGGTCTGAGATTGTAATATGTGGTGGTAAATTTCTGATAGTGCAAATCAAAACCACGCAGCTATATGCTATAGTTCACCACAAATATCCATGGTTCAAATAGCATTGGGGTCTAGTACATGAGCCAATTATGTGATTAATCTTTCCGTCACCGGTACAGGAGGGTATATGGGGTTTAGGATAAACGTATTCAATGCGTTTTAATTTAAGCTTCAGCTAGCAGGTATTATATATACTGTGAAGGTTCCATTGGTTTATTTTCCTACCTTCAATTGGTTAGTTTAATTCGTTTATTATGGGCGTCACACAATTAACATGTAGGCGAAAGCGGAAAGGTTAGTTACATAATGAGTTCAGGAACCTTTACCTTGTCCCCAATTATTTAGATATTTAACTTTCACAAAATTATTTTGTGCTAGAAATAGCGAATATATAATTGTGTGGCATCACGAAGAAAATTTATAAATCATCTGTTAAATTAACCTAAAATCGTCGTTCAAAAATTAAAATGAGGAACTTATTTAAACAGATATTCAATATATTTAAAAACTATTACGACTGATCTTGTTAACACGTACTCGCTGTTGGCAACACTGATTTAAAAACCTCTGCCGGCAGACGACGGTCGTCACGGACCAGACGGGTCTTAAATAATTCGTCTAATATTATTACTTAACATCCACCGCGCAATATAAACAACACGCTAATATGGATTAGATGGTGTCAGTGAATCAAACATGTGGTTGACCAGATATGTATGCTGTGATGCTCGTACAGCATAGTCAAGTGAAACTTTTATGATGCAACGTAAATTGATAGTATTACCACTTATTAATCGTCTTGTGACGTTCTGTGCACTAGGAACATGCTGTGTCGAATACTTGTGTTGTGTTTGATGTAGTTATAGTGATTGCGTTATGAGACTGATTGCCTTAACCGGCGGCCGACGAAAACATATTCTCTTCAGCATCGTCTGCTCTTGTTATAGACGAAGGTCGGTTACTCTCCCAAAGTAATATAATTATATATATAGTGATTAGATTATATGACTCATATGAATCACGTTATGATTTGTTTATATATATATAAATCCATAGTGCTATATATTTATACTGACTCAACGCTTTTCATCAGATAATTACATAATTACTCCCGAGTTCGATTCCCGCGGCAGGACATAAACGTTTAGGCACGTTTCCTTTAACCAGAATTAGGCAACTGCTGTGGTTGGCATCTGTAGGTCTATACTTACCTATCACTGACTATCGGGAAGTAAAGTGGCCATCCTCGTATATTCATTGCATTATCATACTTGGTTTAAGTTCACACTTCTATTGAAGAAATAGTTAACAATGGTATAATTCGTAGTTCATTGTGTCGGGGGGGGGGGGGGGGGGGGGGGGGGAAGAGTCAGCCAGTTTATATATACAGTACATGTTAGGCTTGTATTGAGGTCCTCCCTCCCATGGTCGAATTACTGAACAACAAAGGCCAAAGTCCATTCCATATGCACCCGCCAAACCCTCTGTTCATGAATGAAAAACGGTTTACACACACGACTCACAAACGATGACGTTCGAACACTTCCGGAACAAAAGCTTCACTGACGAATTTTGTTGGAAGCACAACGCTGTAAATGCTTCACTCATGTGCTACAAATACAAATAATTGCCAACAGAACCTAAACACCTAACCTAACCAGTGCCTAAATACGTACAATATGCTAATATAAAATAATATTAATTTATATTTTATAAAATTCCTATTTTGAATGAACAGTATGTTAAAATTTATGAATGCGTCTTTGGGATCGACTGCTGGATGGAATGGACTTGGTCTGAGGAAGAGTTGGTTTGAAAGGAATTACCCATCCAGCAAACATGAACCACTATATCACGATGGGCTATGTCATTTTTATCATACAGTATGTAATATATAATTATAATGATCAATATTAGGCTTTCTAATCTTGCCCTTTTTCAAGTTAAACATTTATTTGAATTCGTGTAGAGTAGGTCATTTATATACGCGCAATCATTATAAGCATTTGTCTCCAGCCTATCTTGATAACAAAGGAAACCAAGTGTTCTAACCTCTACTGCAATAAACGTCTCTTATATCTCGATAAGAACTCCCGGACTCAACCAGTCATGTGTGTTATCTCCAGAGTTAAGTATTAGTGTCGCGAGCTCCTCAAGTTGGTGCTTATCACTTGTTGAAGGTTGCCACCTGTCTCCGGGGTCAGCCGCTTGTAGAAGTCAGCTGATCAATGTCAAAATAGCAAACTGTCAGCAATGCATTGACAATATCTAAAAATAACAACATAATGAGTTCAGAAAGTGTCTACAATATATATATATATACTAATAACTACAACCATACATTTTAGGCAATTATCTCCTGTTTGCTAACTGCAGGTGATTGTAATCTTTCGAAACATCGCTGCCCACTGGGTGGATGAGGGATCGCAAGATCAAGCAAATTATAATTGAATGTAATTGACTCGATGAACAAACGTTTACTCTATGTTACAGCCTCTTGAGATCATGGTGATGTTAGTTTGACAACCTTTGAAGACATTGTTAATTATTTATGTTAAATTGTGTATAACCACAGCTCGTAAACTTAGCGTGGCCAAGCTAATTTTGGGGTTCAGTTCCTGAACCCATTATGTGCCTCTTGACTTTTTCTTAACTTTTCTTTTTCTTAATACCCACAATTAAGATGGGTATTGAGCACTAGAAATATCTAAGAGTCAGCTGATTTTATGGGACGACACTCAGATATGTAGCTTGTAATTCTTGCATGGTAGGAGTGATTGCATGGTAAGAATACATGGTAGGACTGAGTGCGTGGGTGGGAGGTGTGAGTGAGCTGACGCCAGTGTGTCGTCTCATACCGGCAATAAAGGAGGATACATCACCTTACTGGGCGGCTGTGAAGTGACTGTTCTGAAGATTTTTGTGCTGTGCTCAGCTGACAACTGCTGTGCTGAGGTGTTTTCAACTGTGCTGGTGAGGCTGAACGTGTATCATATAGTAGTCACTTGGGAATGTTGTGGTCATGTTCATTGTGTTGTGGTGAAGGTTCATAGTGATGTGGTGAGGTTCATCATGCTGTGGTGAGGTTCATCGTGTTGTGGTGAGGTTCATCGTGCTGTGGTGAGGTTCATCGTGCTGTGGTGAGGTTCGGCGCTCCCTGGAGAGGTTCGTCGTGCTGTGGTGAAGTTCGTCGAGCTGTGGTGAGGTTCGTCGCACCCTGGAGAGATTCGTCGTGCTGTGGTGAGGTTCGTCGCTCCCTGGAGAGGTTCGTCGTGCTGTGGTGAGGTTCGTCGTGCTGTGGTGAGGTTCGTCGTGCTGTGGTGAGCTTCGTCGCAGTCTGATCAGGTTCGTCGTGCTGTGATGAAGTTCGTCGTGCTGTGGTGAGGTTCGTCGCACCCTGGAGAGGTTCGTCGTGCTGTGGTGAGATTCGTCGCAGTCTGATCAGGATCGTCGTGCTGTGATGCGGTCTATTATAGTCTAATATACCCAATATATTCAGGAATTGTTTTTGAAGACTTTACAAGATGCTGAAGTGTGACCCATTCATTCTTGATCAGCGTTAAGTGTTCATTAGAAAGTAAATCGTTCTTTCCTGGCAAACAAGAATGCTAGTTAAATAATCCCAATTAAGGAGTTCCCTTTGTAAGGTAAGTTGGGCGCACAGACAAGAGAAAGCGTGTGTTTAATTAAATTATTGGGAGAGAAGGTGGGAGAGGAGTGTTGGGGAGACTGAAGAGGGTAGGGATTTTGGTGAAAGCGGAAAGAGAAAGGAATGGGGCAGTGGGAGAAAGGAAGTAGAAAGAGAAGCAATGGGTGCGGTGGCTGGAGCAAGTAGTGTGCAGGGGGCAGGGTTGAGAGAGGAGAATGGATAATTGATTGGGTGATGAGGGGAAGCAAATTTTCTTATGCATGATTTGTACCATGAGAGACAACAACGACAATTTCCGTTGTTGCGCCATGGGAGATTACCCCGTTTCAAATTTTAATCCATCCCTTTCCATCCAAGAAGCAAATTAAAGATCAGTCCAAGCTTTGTCTTGGACTGACGGCAAAGCTCAACGCCTGAAGCCATACTGATACTCTGTCCAAAGAGTATCTCAAATCTCGTATCATATACGCTAATGGTTCGTTCCTTACAGCACCACCACTGGTGCAGCTGAAAGTGCAGTTGTCCACACAATGGGTGAAGAGTTATAATTTGAGTCCGTATGATATAGCTGATGAGTTAGCCAAAGAATCTGATATCAAAGGAGTTGATTATAACCTTGGACTGTCTATAAGCAACCGGAGAACAATAACACACAAAGACCTTCAACAAAATGTTGTATATCTGAGGCAAAGTGATGTCTACACTAGCAATTCCATTTATCATACTATCATGCAAGAAGTATGGATCATCTAATAAAATCAGTATACTCCTAAATGTTACTACTGCTCGGCTTAGACTCGATTATAGGTATCTCTGGGAATTTGCATCACCTGCTGATGTAGACCACCAGGAAGTAGCCTACGACGACGCCCTTTTTTTATTGTAGTGAAAGAATTGTACAGCGTAATCTTTTTGATTGCGTGCCTTCTGTAAGATCTGATAAATCTTGTAACCAAATCAATTATTACATTCGTATCAATCGGCCTATTTGTCCTTGATTGGTATTACTATGCAGCTGAGTTTAGACTAGAGAAAGGGTCAGGATGGTGACCTTAATGAAAGGTGTGGATAATATAGCAGAATATGTATTTTCTGTTATATAAATTATATTAGAAAAATAAACTTATAACTGTCAATAGCTAATGAAGCACATACACAAATAATTTATCTTTTAATTAGTTTAACCTTTTGTGTAAAATATTTGGTTGAAAAGTTTGCAATTTGTTTAAATACTAATACTGAAATTATTGAAATATATAAATGTATCCTCGTTGCCGAACTGGATGAAAATCACGCCATTCATTACCTGTTTCCGATTCCCAGAGTTTATCCCGGAGCCATCACAGCCAGGCTGATTCGGTAATTCCCATAGAAACTTGTTGTGTTCCCTCTTCATAGCTTCTAGTGTTGTTACAGCCACATTTCTAATATTTGTTGGCAGGAGATTGAAAAGATGAACCAGGCCTCTAATGTTTACACTGTTCTCTCTAATTGTGCTAATGGCACCCAGACGTTCCCCATGACAAAGTCAACACGATTATAAGGAAATTTTTTTTTATGAAGTATCGGCGCCTGTGAAATGTAGTTATAGTACCCTCAATAACCATAGATGAAGTGGATGCCATAGGGCACCCAAACTGTTTTGATACATTTCTGATATGGTAACTTCGATATCCTAATCAGACCTGCGTCTATAGTGTATATCAGGAGTGAGATTGTATTAAAGGGAGCAGGTAGAGATTGAGCAAGGGTCTTTGGCCTGATGCGATTAGAGCGAGGAGTACCAAGTGTCTTTGGTAAGTTGTAAAATGTGACCGAGTTTAAAGCAAGTGAAAGGGGTGAAGAGCCAAACTGTCCTTCCCTATAGCTGTGGCTGCTTCTTAATAAAAAAAAACTAAGGTGATGGCTTTTATGTTACTAAGCCTATTGATTTTGTCACATATAGGCTACATTTTAATAAGTGTTTGGAATGCTAGGCTCCAACACATCCACACCTGGGTGCTTTTCACCGTTACTATTCAAATTCAAATGTTTATCCAGGTAAAGTACATACATACAAGGTGAGATACAAACATAATGTTGGATTTATAGATAGAGCTAGAATACAATGCCTAAAGCCATTATTACGCACAGCGTTTCAGGCAAGGTGTGGGAAAAAAAACATTTATACTGGTATATATACTGGATCCCGTTCTTAATACTAATTGAGATCAAAGCATACATTGAGTTGAAAAACAAAAATACATGGCAGAAAGCAGCAGTTACATCCACTGAATGTGTCTCGGATGCAGGTTTGAATCCTCATCACGGCCCTTGTGGATTTGTTCATTTGATGCATCACGCAATTGTGATTTATGTGTGTAATTAAATTCAATTTGCCAAGTGGTGCTCCATATACTTATTTTGTCCAGGTCTTCTTGAAGGGCATGACAATCATCTAAGTTTCTTATCCTTCCTTCAAACGACAAGACCATCGGGTACTTGCCAACTGGGTACCAAGTCATGTGGGAATAATCAGAAATGACATTGCAGACGAAGCTGCAAAACTTGCAACTAAGAGAAAAAATGTAGACATATACATACCACAGAGTCTATCACAGATTAAGAAAGTAATTAGAAACAGAGCAATGCAAAAGATGTACAGTGACCACAACAGAGCAGCTGCAACATCAGGATCTGCGGGTTGGTACAAGAATTCAACCAACTACGAACCACTTAGTTTGATGAAAGGGAGCAGTGGAGCAACAGAAGTACATTCATATCGCATTAGGCTTGGATACCCATGTGCATGGGAAATAGGCTTACAGGTTCCGGAAGATGAGAGGAAATGTCAGCACTGGAGAAATGCCCGACAGACCACTGGAATATTATCTAACACAGTGCACAGTTACAAACCCATTAAGATTTCAACTTAGATTCAACAGAGCAGAAGTTGTTAAACACATGGCAAAATCTTACTGAAGCGACCATACGAGTCATAAATACTCATACTCCGCCCAAGTAAAACAGAAACAAGCAACACTTAGTGGGCCAGCCAGAGGCTTAGGGTCCGCGCTGGAATATCCCTGCAAAAAAAAAATTATCCTTCCTACTATCTTAGCATCATCAGCAAACATGTTCATACAAGTCTGTATTCCATCTGGTAGATCATCTATGTAGACAATAAACATCACTGGTGCAAGAACTGAACCCTGCGGTACTCCACTTGTGACATTTCTTCAGTCCGATACATTGCCTCTGATTACTGCCCTCATTTTTCTATCGGTCAGAAAATTTTTCATCCATGTTAGATGCTATCGGTCAGAAAATTTTTCATCCATGTTAGATGCTTACCTGTCACCCCTCCAATATTTTCCAGTTTCCAGAACAACCTCTTATGTGGAACTCTGTCAAAAGCCTTTTTTAGGTCCAGATAGATGCAGTCAACCCAACCATCTCTTTCCTGTAAAATCTCTGTGGCTCCTTACCTTGAGGTTACCTTGAGGTGCTTCCGGGGCTTAACGTCCCCGCGGCCCGGTCGTCGACCAGGCCTCCTGGTTGCCGGACTGATCAACCAGGCTGTTGGACGCGGCTGCTCGCAGCCTGACGTACGAGTCACAGCCTGGTTGATCAGGTATCCTTTGGAGGTGCTTATCCAGTTCTCTCTTGAACACTGTGAGGGGTCGGCCAGTTATGCCCCTTATGTGTAGTGGCTCGATCATAGAAACTGAGTAAATTCGATACACAGGATCTTCCAGATCGAAATCCATACTGTCTGTCTGATATTGTATAATTTTTCTCCAGGTGTTCTACCCATTTAGTTGTTATTATTTTTCCACTATTTTGGCTATTTTATTACACTTGTCAATGATACTGTTCTATAATTGAGGTGTAGGTAGGTGTGTGTGTACTCACCTATTTGTGCTTGCGGGGGTTGAGCTTTGGCTCTTCGGTCTGAGCCAAAGACCAAAGTGTGTGTGTGTGTGTGTGTGTGTGTGTGTGTGTGTGTGTGTGTGTGTGTGTGTGTGTGTGTGTGTGTGTGTGTGTGCGCGCGCGCGCGCGCACATGCACTCACCTAGGTGTGCTTGCGCGGGTTGAGCTTCGGCTTTTTGGTTCCGCCTCTCACTTTCAGTCAGCTGGTGTGTATTCACCTAGTTGTGCTTTCGGGGGTTGAGCTCTGCTCTTTCGGCCCGCCTCTCTACTGTCAATCAACTGTTTCTAACTACTACTATTTTTTTCCTCTCTCCACCCCCCCACCCCACACACACCCCCCAGGAAGCAGCCCGTGACAGCTGACTAACTCCCAGGTACCTATTTACTGCTAGATAAAAGAGGTATAGGGTGAAACTGCCCATTGTTTTTCGCCGGCGCCCGGGATAGAACCCAGGACCACAGGATCACGTGTCCAGCGTGCTGTCCGCTCGGCCACGAGTAATAGTGGTATTATAGTGTGTAATAGTGGTGGTGTGAGGGGGTGTGGTTGTGATAATGATGGTGTGAGAACAGTGAGGTTCCTCACTTTCATGGCTCAGAAACGTCTCTTCATTTTTCTCAGGAAAAGGTCGACAGGCAATCTACGTGGGGGGGGGGGGGGGTTGCACGTAGACATTGCAAGTAATAATTATCGTTTGAATGCAATAAAACCCATTCTTCAAATGGGTAGGGAGGCCATCAGCCAGCGTCAGCACTCTGATATTCACCGGACTATTCCATGTACTATTCCGTATTGTGTATGAGCCTGTTTTCATCACACCAGCCTGTTCTCATTACACCAGCCTGTTCTCATTACACCAGCCTGTTCTCATCACACCAGCCTGTTCTCATCTCACCAGCCTGTTCTCATTACACCAGCCTGTTCTCATTACAGTACAATGTACTTATTACACTCCTTGTAATCCTCACATTCCAACCACTCACCGCAGCAACAACCAGCACTAACAACTACAACTACCTACCATCAATTACCTCCCCATTCCATACTCATTACATCATAATATAATAATTACACTATCTCCCCGATTCTCGCAATAGAAATTAGAACAAAATTAGGGATCCGTGTAATAACAAGGGAAGGACATCTTAATTGTTTGTCATGATTTCTGGCATCGCAGCACCAGAGGTCATTGATTTCTGTCAAGAGCAGAGTTCAATTCAATAACTGACTTGTCTATCTGGTCAGTCTATAAAATAGATAACCCTTGTTGTTTTTATTCAAGTTTGCTGAAGGCAACCATCTTCGGTGAGATTAGGCTACTCACTTTTGGACAGTAACCCCAATCTTTCTAAGAAATTCCCCCTCCCCTAGTTTATGGCAGTCCTGGTATTTATGAACTTCGGTGGGCAAGATATTCCGTGGATTATTTCTTTGATGTCAATGGCCGGTATTGAAGGTGTTGACTACCTCGGGCCAGTTTTTTTTGTCCAGTGGCTGAGGACTTAGTTACTGTGTACTTTTCCATGCCTTGCTGACTTCCCCTCAACTCTCTCTTTCGGCTTCATACATGTTTACAACTGGTTGTTAATAATATCCCATACTGTCTTGTTTCTCCATATTGTTCAACTAGCTTCATTCTTGTTGGCTGCTAATTCTCCCTGCCCTCATTATTTATATTCGTTGTCTTGTCAAGTCCTTTTGGCTTGGCATCACACCATTTCCGTCTTTCTCTCAACTCTGATATTTATACTATTATCTATGTTCATTTTCTGTAATATCAGATATACTGTATCCACTCTACTATCCTGGTACTAACTGGGGCACCTGGAGCATGCAATTTGGTTACTTGGCATCAACACAGTAAGTGTTGCAGTTATTCTGTCTTTGTGAAATGGAAGTGTACAGTACAGTAATTGCATTTACCAATTACATTTCCCCATATTTATGATTTGTCTTTGTACAGTATTAGCATAGTGGTTTTTGAACATCTTTTTCAATTTAACTTTTTTAAAGTTTATAGAAATAAAATCTTTCATGACTTCTTATATTTGTCAGAACAATAAAATCTAAATTTATATCAACACATAGTAAAATTGCATTTTTGTTATTCTTATGCAGTAGACTACCCTAACTGGATATTTGACATCATAACGACATTACAGGGTTTGTCAAGAAACCATCACACTGCAGAGCCATGTGATAACTATAGGTATTTTATATGAATTATTTGTGTAAAAATTTTAAGCACATTTGATTTCCTCAGCTGGCAAGATGGACACATGGCTTCGGACCTGCCTCCTTCTGTGCTTATATGGCTTCTTTAAAGAGCTCAGGCCATCTGAACCCTTTCTTACCGAGTACCTCTTGGGACCACAACAGAACCTCACCGAAAACCAGGTATGGAAAGCATCCATCCAAACGTTTCTGCATCTTACATGCATGCATGCACACTCACAAACATACAGGCATGAGCTCTCATCCTATTAGGCAATTACGTAGATAATTACAGTTAGGTAATTGCACAATAAACTTTGAAAAAAAAAGAGTAGCAAACAAATGTAAAACAGAGCCAGGCCTTTTCTTTAAATTTATTAAAAGCAAGCTGCATGTAAAGAATATAATCCAAAGATTGAAAATGGGGGTACAGATGTACAGAGAATGAAAAGAAAGTGTGTTAAAACACGAAATGAACAGTTCCAAAATGTATATTTGTGCAAAATGAGGTTTACGATAACAATTTCAGAGAGCACCATAGGTGTCTTGAGACAAAGTAGAAAACTACTCAAGGAGCTAAGAAGAAACAAAGCAATTGGTCCAGGTGGAATTTCACCTTGGTTTCTGAGAGAATGCAAATATGAGCTTAGTATATACTGTGTATATACCATATTACTTTATATATATATATATATATATATATATATATATATATATATATATATATATATATATATATATATATATATATATATATATACATATACATATACATATATATATATATATATATATATATATATATATATTACACATATATACGTATACATATATATATATACTACAGTATATCCAATTATTCTATTCACAAAGGAGTTTTTCATATACTGTACATTCAATGCCTGATTTATTTAAAATGTTAAGCCAAGTTAATTGTACCGACTTATCTTTTGGATATTTTGCACATATATAATAAGATGAGAATATAGGAAACTGCAGGCCTGTTGACCCATGGAATGTAGTTGTTGTTCTTTATATCTAATCTCACTTGCTCATACATATGCATTATGTCCAACGACCACTTGAAACAATCCCCATGAAGATTTGAGCATTTTCTCTCTCAAGATAACTACACTTCTTTCAGGTCAGCTGTCGATTACTGAAGGTCCAAGGGATAAGTAGGGATAATGAAGGGATAAGTACCCACCCATTCCTTCCTTACTAGGCTTACTGGCTTAGGACTCTCTCCTGATCAATGTTACCTCCCTTAAGACAATAATACTTTCATTTTGATCCGATTATTACATTACCTAAAAACTTATACTGTATCTACAATATTATGTTACCCAACATTCTGTATATATTACTATGTTTAATTTTTATTTGAAATAGTCCAGTGACTACATACAGTATACTGTATATCTATTATGTTGGCCAGCAACCTGCTACACAAAGCAACCCTATTTCCAAACCAGTATTTACCTAGCTCGTTTCTGAATCTAATCTTATACAATTTATATCCATTATTTCATATTGTATTTTGTGTTCATATATTTACAATTCTCTGGTAATTATCATCCTATATAGGCTGCAGCATACTAAAACAATTATTTTCTCTTTCTTTGGCAGGTGTATTACGATGTTTATCCAGTGTGGACATATTCTTATTTATCACTACTTATTGTAGTGCTCTTACTAACTGATTTGCTGAGGTATAAGCCAGTCATCGTTTTTGAAGGCATTGGCTATGTTGTCACATGGAGTCTTCTTCTCTGGGGTCGGGGCGTTGGGGCGATGCAGCTCATGGAGTTCACCTATGGTATTGCCACATCCACAGAAGTAGCATATTATACTTATATCTACGCAAAAGTGTCTTCCAAGTTTTACCAAAGGGTAACAAGCTACACCCGTGCTGCTCTACTCACAGGAAGATTCATGTCTGGTGTATTGGCACAGGTCAGACCAATTCTCTAAATGTTTGTTTTTCTTTCTCATTTTATATATAGTGTGCTGTTAGTCAACTGATTATTCTCCTGCAAGTCTTCTATGTGTGTAGATAATACATCCAGCATTACCTCCACATGTCTGAACCACTACATTTCTCTATAAATAATTCCTTTAGGACATCTCTGACTTTAACCCTTATACTGTGACTAGTGCCTACTGTAATTGCATTATTTTAGTGGCCTTATTATATATTGATGCTAATAAGTGATGATATATTAGTCTCTTCTCATTTAGTATTAATGTTACCCATTAAACATAAATAATTTACTTGATTATCTTATATCTGAAATGCTATGCTTATTAGTGGCTTTATATAATTTTATTTTACATTCTGTACTTATGAATACACCACTGTATCATGTTTCAAGTGTACTTTATATAAATAGCAATTATTAATATTATGAAACTAGTGGCTATGTGAACAATATAATTCTGTTTATACATTCTTACATTGTTAAAATAACCTAAATGGAAAACAAACCTTTCTGGAGGGAGCCCCCACCTTCCCCCAGCCAGTTTCCATTAGTCAGTCAACTATGTGCCAGCCATCCTTGGACTCTGTTGTCCTTTGTGGGCCATTTGCTTTGAGTATTGTTTCTGGTGTTTAGGGACATGAAATTGGAGGTGTTGGTGACCACCTCCTGGACTAAGTCTGACCATTCTCTTCCTTCTTCCATAGGTGTGGTTTGCACTGGTTCTGGCTCTGATGGTTTTGGCGTTAGGTCAGGGTTTAGCTCGGCATTCTCCGGGGATAGTCCCATCCATATCGACAGCAGAGGAAATTAACCCTTTCAGTCCTCCTGGGTTTTCAGGGTACAGTATTCATTTTCACAACTGCCTCCCCCCCTCTCCTTCAACCCCACTCTGAGCCTTCTCAACAGAACACCTTTCTGTCTTGGGTGTTGGGCGAGGACTTCTGCTCTGCCCTGGAGCCTGTGCTGCAGGTTTCAAGGATTGAAGGTTGAGCTCAAAGAGTGCTGTGCATACCTTTCAATCCTTCATGGAATTTGGTCCTCTCTGCAGAGGATCTCTTGCAACAAGGGGATAATTTTTTTGTATCCTCTCTACATGTATGAATTGGATTGCTGCTTGGTGCCTCCGAGTCATATTTCCAATATTTCCATCTAACCATGCTGTGCCTTCAGTGGTCCATGCAGATTTCGTTTGGTACCTCCTGCAGAACACAGATCTCTTTTCCATGATGGACTGAGCCTCCTTAGAGTACAAATCTGTTTACTGGCTGCAGTATGAAGTCTTGGGTTCATCCTGGCTGGCTGACAACCCCTTTTTTCCTCATGGATTTGGCAGGGGTCCTATTGAAGGCGAGTTCTCTTTTTCAGGTGTTCTTATGTGGTGCATCTTTTGCTGTACATCTTGGACCGTCTGTCTGCTCCAGCATTCCCAAGAATGTGGGCAAGTGGTAGACCATGTGCAGATGTCATAGTGTTCAATAGTGAAAAACATTTTCCTACTACCTGCTCCCACCTTACTGATCGTCTTTCATCATTATGAAGTTTTCCACTTTCACGGGGTGGTAAAGTATCAGCCTAAAAAGAAGAAACATGGATGTTGATCTTCTCCATTTTATACATTGTATAACCTCATGGAGGTTATACGATGTTTAACATAATACACTGTTTCTCCACGAGGTTATACACATTGTATAACCTCATGGAGAAACCAATCTCTCTACATACCAGCTGTAACGCAAGTTTACATGTACGTATTTGGTTGATTAGACACAAAGAATTTAGTACCTTTTGATATTTTGAATAGTCTTGGTTACAGCAGTCAGTTTGTTGGCAATGTAGTGAGATGTCGTAGTAGATGAGACAAAGCCTGAAGCAGGGCAGAGAGCCGAGTGAGGCCGGGGATAGAGAGTGCAGATGCGGACTGAGTGTGGAGCTCTGAATGCGGGAAGAGTCGAAGGGCTCGAGTGTGGGACAAGAGTGGGGAAGCTCGATACGGCTGGAGTGAGTCTGTCTGCTCTGTAGTGAAGCTAAAGTGTTTTGTGAGGGTAGGAACTGGACTCGTCAAGTGTTATATTGTTGCTGGTGAATGTTGAAGATGTACAGTATCTCTCAAGCGTTTGTGCTGAACCACTATACGAGTTTAGACTGATGATGATTCGCTGTCAATTGGTTATACTGTACTGTATTACCAACATCCACCTCACCTGACTATCATCTAGCAGGTTGTGAAGAAGTATTAACTGTAATTAGTTGTACACTTAGGAATTTTAATTAGTGGACCAAGAATCAGTGTAGGACTTCTAGGAATGTAATAACGTAGAGATAGGTTATGTAGAATCAACGGGCCTATCTCATTATCTGCACATAAGCTAATGAGGGTATGGAGCAAGTATATTACTTACATAATATACTTGTTACACAGCAATTTATAAACAGTACTAGGCATTGTTGTTGTGCAGTACAAATACATATTCTCCTTCACTCTAGGACCATCTGCTGCCACCATACCTTGTCCCTACCATATCCTGTGCTGTTCATACTCAATGCTATTTGTATTTCTCTTTACATCAACATTAAAGTTTCCCTTTTCATAACCTTTCCATGTCCATTACCTTTCTCTCAGATACTGCTTTCACTTATTCCATCTTTCCTTCCATATTTTCATTTTTGCAAAGAAGCTATCTTGGATATTTATATTTCTTAAACACACCAATACTTTGCCATTTTTTTTATATATTGTAAAACTAATTCTAACAGTTCACGCTCATTATTTCTTTTAGTGTGGCCTTACTTTCATTATTAACACTACAAACCAGTATGACAAGACAGATATCATCTTAATTTTTAAAATACTGCACTGAACAAAGTGGAGGTTGTTGATCCAGACAATTTCTTCAAAAGGTCAGATGTAACACAAGCAAGGAGCAACGGTTTCAAGCTCAGCAAGCCACAATGTAGGACTGAAATCAGGAGATGCTTTTCTACCCACAGAGTTATAAACCCATGGAACTTACTATCCGCATAAGCCACAAATGCTAAAACTCTATGGAATTTTAAAATCTACCTAGAGAAAAATAATCAGGACATATGGGGAGGGGGGGACCTTTGAAAAGCTGCTGGCTTCCTATCCTCGTCAAGGTCACTAGTGTGTTATTGACCCTCAGGTAAATTAACATATATTTGAAACTTCCCATCTCAATTTCACATTGTATTAGCCTGAATCATAATTTTCTCATTTTGTAGCCATCTTGGCCACCATTCTGTCCTCCTTCACTTTTCTCTTCTAATTTTGTTTAAATTTTCTTCTCTTTTTTTTTTTTAGGTGCTCACATCAACACACTTGCTGAACTACCATACTCTGAACTACTTTTCATTAACAAGCGTTATAATAGCCTTCCTGATTGCCTGTTGCCTTCCATCAGTTTCAACCAGCATATACTTTCATCGTCAGCAGTATGTGCCAACCAGTGAAGGAGACAGCTCCAGTTCTCTTACAGGGAACCAGGAAAAGGAGAGTATAATAGCAAAAATATCAAAGGTAATACTGAACTTATATTGAACTTTAATAATATCTTTCAAAAAGCATGAAATTATATAGTAAAGCCTGCATGTGTTGTCAAAACAAAGCATTTCCTATTTTTAGCTATCTTTTGCTCAAGGCACTTTTTTTTGTAACAATTTATTTCATTTGGCCACACTTATTCTACTTAATTTTATTTTGGTGATGTACATACAGTATTTTGCAATTACTGTATGTAAAATTCCTTGGTAAATATGCTTATTTGTTGCATTTATTATGATATTCTGTATATTGGGGAACACATATTGCCTTGTATATTGAGTTACTTAATCCAAATCATATTTGCAGGTCATTAATAACATTAATAATAAAGAAATTATGTTGCCGCAGTTCTAGTTTTTAATTATCTGCAGAAAAAATCATACTTTCAGGTTGCAGGCTTTATCTGGGATGACTTTAAAAGTGCATACAGCAACAAGTACTTGCTGAAGTGGTCCATCTGGTGGGCCTTTGCTACATGTGGAAATTTCCAGGTTGGCAATTACATCCAGCCCCTATGGGAAAGCATTGCCCCGATGAATGACAATGAGAATTTGTACAATGGGGCAGTTGAAGCAGCACAAACATTACTCAGTAAGTGATTCTTGTACAAATGTAGTGGCTTACCAAGAGTTATGTGCACACATGTACACAAGGTGTCTAATTTACAAATTGCTTAAACAAGCTGGAATATGTGGGGAAGATACTCCATTGGTTAAAGGAGTACTTAACAAACAGGAAGCAAAGCTCTAATGTGTGTATAGTTATTTGGATGAGCAAATGTAATAAATTTAGTTTTCTAAGGGTCAGTACTCGAACCATAATGTTCTTCACTTACGTGAATGACCTGCCTGAAGAGATTAATTCCTTCATAGTGATACTTGCAGATGATGCAAAAAGTTACTGTTTTCCAATGAAGAATAAATATGGATGCAGATTGTAGAAAAGTATAGGAGGACAGAATTACTGTACCAGCTGAGAGAGAAGTGACTGCTCATATAAAAAATGAGGGAAGGATCAATAGGTATGGTGAATATAACACAACCAAATGCCAGATGCCAACATAAAATGGATGTCTGCAGGGTATGCAATATTAGCTAGTAACAGAGAACAGCCCCCAGACATTTGTGCAAAGTGCAATCAACATCTTAAGAAAAGCAAATTTTGATGAGGTTCACAAATTTAGCACTAGAATAGTTGCTGAACCTCTGAATTATGAGGATGAGTTTAAAGAAACTAAATCCCTCAATGTCGGAGAAAAGATATAGATGCCACATATTCAAACTATACTGTACAAGACACTTAAGGTGGACAAAGTAACTTTTTTGAATGGGGTTGGAACCAGAATTGGAAGGGGGGACAAATGGAAGGAAAATATCTGAATGAGCCAGATATATAAGAAAAAATGTCTTGAGCATAAGATAGGTGAGCGAGTAGTGACAACAAACTCCATACATAGATTCACTATGATAAAACTCACTGGGTTAGGAAATCATACTAGAAAATATAAATCTGCTGGAAGAATTTGTTCAGAACACTACTGTATTGCTACTTACTGTAGTTTTATTTTATTTTGTACTAATTAGTTAACTTCCTTGAAAAGGAACTCATATCCTTTGATTTTCAATTTCTATTATGGAAAAAAATATTCAACCACCCTCTGCATTTTTATGGCCATGGATTCTTTTTAGTGTTATCCAGTATAGTATGATACAGTGATGTCATATATGTACAGTATTTCCTGATGCATCTAAAGCCTTTGTTTTAAGATTGTGTTCTTAGAAAATATTTAAGGTGAGGCTTTAAAATTAGTTGTGTTAAGGAGAGATCTTGGTCTGCAAACAAGAGTTAGAAGACAGTTCCTGTTCCAATATATAAAAAAAGGTAAATCAGAGTCTCAGAGTCTGCCTTGTTACCAGACATATTGAAATTTTTATCTATCTTTAAGACCTTGAACTTTTATAAAATGCCGATATGTCATCACAGGTAGGCAAGCGGGGCAACTCATAGATAACCGTCTCTTGGCAGTCACCTGTGATGCCTGGGGTAGGTTAATAAAGGGTTTTTTGGTAATCATCCTGACTGGATTGAGTATCGTCAAGTGACTCCCCAGTACCTAGAATGACCTTGCAAGAATTGCTTGTAAAGTTTCCTGTGGTGCTGGTGCCAGTATGATGTTCTACCAAACTGTTCAAAACTCAATGCCTTATTTTTAGGGCAAGTACCTGTCTTGACTCCCGGCATAATGGTTATTCAATTCACACCACTCCTTTTAACCTGTGTTGGAAGGGGTTCAGTTATCAATCACAGGTGATAGTCTGTGGTACATACTAGCACTATATAGATGTGGACAGTTCACAATGTGCAGAACTTTATGATACTATATTATAATCAGTATTTGCTTTTTAAAAATAATAAGCCCACTTCCAGCATATATGACACTGTAAGTACTGACAGTTACCCAGAATAGATACAAAAATTCAACCTGCTGACAAGGAAATAGTTAAACATGTAGGATATAGTAATCATTATCTTATGAATAACTGTTTACTTCCATTAATACAGGTGCTCTGGCAGCATTTGGAGTTGGTTACCTGCATCTTAACTGGGAGTTCTTTGGAGAGGGAACTTTGGCGGTTATTTCTTTGATTGATGGTCTTCTTTTATGCTTCATGGGTCTCACATCATCAATCATAGTGGGCTATATCAACTATATTTTCTTCAGAGTTTCCTATCAAGTTCTAATTACGATTGCCAGGTAAGTTACAAATCTTGTAGACACAACCTCAATCATGTATTGCATGATTTATTATATGTATGCTTACTGAACTATAAATTGAGCTACTTATATTATGCTGTCAATGATTTCTTTATACTGTACCAGTATTTTGTTATTTTATAACTATTAGACAAGTACTGTACTGAGCCTTATATGAAATGTGTTAACTTATAACTAATACCTTCCACTTTACATTAGTATCCCCCAGGCTTCTTGACACTCATGATCCACCCCTCTTGTTCAATCCTCACGTAATGGTGTCGTGTACTGAGGCAAGCATCTTTCAGCTGCTGTGGCAGAGTGGTCTGGTATATCTTTGGGTGCATGAACTTTGAAAGTTAGCCACTCAAAGCCTTTTTTAGCAATATTCCATACTGACATTTTGAACTTGGGGGCCTCTTGATAATTGAAACTTGGTCACCCACTACCTCCCCAACTGCACTGTAATGTTACATACTATTGGATGGATTGTTTTCGGTAAATCTGTTATAGTCCTCTCAAGGTCCTGGGTGCCTTTTGGTGGACCTCTGGGTATTTCCATCAACTTTCTGCTCAACAACTTTGGGGACTCCAGTCTGCTATTTGCTGTATTTTATTAACTTTTTCTCATATTTTTTTTTTTTTGTGAAATAGCTCAGCAACCAGGTTTTGAATATGAAAAGCTCCTTTTTGAGCAAGACACTTCAGTGATCCCATTCATTCCCTCGAATCCCAGATCATCCCTATTCAGTGTTTTCTTTACATCAGTCAGAATGCTATGGGGCTCAAGGCAAGGGACTAGGTGTTGGTATGAGTGCTGCCATCTGGTGACAGTGAAGTATTGTAGTTAGGTGGTCCATGGCCATGGTTGGGCTTGAAAAGGCTTTAGTGTGTAGAATGGATCAGGTTACATATGAATGGGGTCTAATAACCCTAAGTTATTGAGACAAGAGTGAGCTTTGTTAGTCTTAACTAGGTTTTAACTCTTTATATTAACTAGATAGATGAGCACTGAAATACAATAATAATTTACAATATAAATTCGATACCTTATGGAGTGGCAAATAATTAGCGAGACAGTCAGGACACTAGAGCCTGAATGTCTAACTGTTGGCAAGCCAATACTGTTGCAGATCGAGGTCAAGAGAAGAAATATGTCTTCTAGTGGTGTTCAAAATCTAACGTAATGTCTCCTGCTGGGCAGCAGATGCCTCATAAGGCCATGGCCAGGATCAGTGAGGAGTCATAAGTGGTGTACTGATCCCTGATTAGCCGCCTGCTGCTTTGTGCTTTTAGAGTGTCTGTCAATAACTAGCCTCGCTGTGCCAGTCTGGTCTGGTCCTGGCAGAAGGCAACCACAGCTGCCTGCTGGCCCTGTGCTCTTCCTACGATAGCAGGTGTCCATAGGGGACACTACAAGCACTTATGAGCAGATGTTTTGTAGTTACTCAAGGTGATACAGTAATGAGTTTTTCTCAAATTCTTTCCCCATCACCTGTGTGATCCAACAGAAACGTTTCAAGAGTATCTATCCTGTTAGCTCACAATGTTGCCCTGCGCTTAAAATTTAGGAGTATTTGTGTGTTTTACATGCTCCTTTAAAATGTTTATTTTTGTAATACTGTATTGTTATTATTATTAAGGGGTATTAGTAACCCAGCTTTCATATGCAAGGAGAGACAATTTAGAGGTATTGTAATTAATTATGTGATAATTAGAAGTAATTTTATTATTGTTTTAAATAAATGTTTGAGTGATAAGTTGGAGATGATTAACGTAAGTGCATTGTTATATAGCTAAGCTGTCATGAGGAAGTGGGTAATGTAAAAACAGATGAATTAGTGAACTCTTTATAAGTACCGTAGTATAATAATGCAGCTTAAGTGTTAAATTTATTCTTAAAGTGCACAAATTATTTTTGCACATAAATTACAATACATATTTTATGCTAAGAAAAATATTGATGTATCTGACATACATTAGGAGGTACAGTATACAGTAAGTGTTGAGATAGGAATACAGTACATAATTTTAGATTTAATTACATGAAATAGGTAATTGGTATATAGGAGACACATTACAATGTTAAGCAGCAAAATATGGAGTGTGAGTGTGTTGGGGTTCATGGTTTGGTTGGTTAGTGTGGTGCATAGCTAAAGTCCTATAAGCTGTGGGAGAGTTATTAAGGCCACAACACTCTCAGAGAAGCAGGGTACACCTTCAGATATGTGGATCCCTTCCCCAGTTTGGTGACATTACAGGAGACTCGGGTGCTCAAGCTGGGAAACCGTTCAGTGGCCCTAGGCAATCATGGTTGTGCTTCACCCAATATTATATTTTCCCCAAAAAATTATAATAAATAAAATAAGCACAAGTGGGCTCTATCATTTTGGGCTCTAAGAGATGTGCCTAGCTTGTTAATGCATTAATCTGACCCTGATCATCATATAATTAAATTTATTATACATACAGTACTACTGTATATCTTTTTTTTCTTTGCAGTTATCAAGTTGCAAAAGAGTTAAAAGCCGACAGCTATGGCTTGGTATTTGGGCTCAATATGTTTGTATCACTACTCTTACAATCAATTCTTACCTTTGTGGTTGTTGAAACTCTAGAAACAGAACCCTATATGCAGGTAAGTTCCGAGAGATTAAATAAAAAAAATACATGTACAGTTGATTCCCGATTGTGCACAGGCTTACGTTCCTTCAAACACTATCTTACTTTACCACATACCGTACTGAAGCATTTAATTAGAGCATTAAGAATTTTGTTTAAAAATTTCAATAATTAATGGGTTTTTACATAAAACCACGTTGACACAGTATGTAAGTAATACAATATGCAATAAAACTACCAGACAAAATAAGATGGAGAAAATGGGTAATACACAGTTGGAAAAGGTTGACAGCACAAGGCATGTTATCATACAGATCAATATTCAATACAGCAACTTGTCAAACATGTTCAGTACTGTACTATCATTATTACATTTTAAATTAATTTTAAATAATTTTGAATCAACAAAGGTGGGATGGATGGCTGGCTGGTATGACAAATACAGTACAGTATTTCTTTATTATATTAAAGATATATTTTTCATATGATTTAGTTATTAAAATGTATGCAATGTGCTATGTTATTTGTGCTATAAAAACAAATTGTATGTGTGGTTTTAAAATAGTAAAAAAAAAAATAGATCTTAATTATATGCATCACTAGATGGACTGAATAATATATCTAGTCCTAACTAGTTTGGATTATTTGGAGGCCAATGTATTTTTTATGGTTTACTACTAATTAATTATACTGTGTATTTTTTATTGTCTGGTTTAGTAATCAAATTAATTTTTTTATCACCAGTTCATCATTTATGGTGTCTATTACCTGGTCCTCGCTTTCTTCTTCTTCATGCTGTCGGCATATGCTTGTGGAAAATTGGGATTCAACGGCTTGCGAGAGATTAATGTGTGGGAAACACAACCGGGACAGTCAATTCAAGAGCCTCCAGTTGGAACTACTGAAGCATTTTAAGTGGTTAATATATTGTACATTATGCAATGTACACATAATTAGTCCATTTATTAAAACTGATACTGTAATTTAATTAATAAATTTAATGTTTTACAAGACCCATTGTATGAGACCAAATATTTAAGTAGATTAATGTACTTTATTATAGGCCATAGCCTCCCGAGACTGATGGATGCCTACTATTACTACTATTCAATAAGAATGCCCTATACATAATAATGTACAGTACTGTACTCTAAATATTTGGTCTCATACAATGGGTCTTGTAAAACATTAAATTTATTAATTAAATTATCAGTTTTAATACATGTACAAATTGTGTGTACTGTACATTATTAATTAAGAGGAAATATTTAAGCTGATTCTAGTACATTATGTTAGTACAATCCTGTAATGGAAAATATATAACTTGCAATAATGAAATAGTTTTGAAACATTCAATTAATATTTTATTGAATTTTGTCTTTAAGATTAAGTACAATTAAAGTTAATTGTTTAGTTACTGTATATCAGATTATTCCATTCCACAGTGAATATATGTATACATTTATTTGTATATACTGTTCTGTATAATATACTCATGTTTCCCTTAGTTCCTTTCATATGTTGTGTTGTATTAAAGTTATGTTTTTAGTATTTGTTTTTTTTTTATTTAAAATGCCTAGGTAATAAGGTGAATAACCCCCCCCCCCAAATTAACATGCTAGTGAGTCAGCAATCCTTTGCTTACGTATACTGTACATCTGCAGCTGCCACCCACAAACCACATGATCCTAAAACTCACAAAGAGTAGATTGTTTAGTCTCGCCTCTAGTGCAAGTAACAATATTATCAGTGCCTCTTGTTTCCTGTGGGGAGCTTGTACATACTGTACTTATTAATATACTTATTGTAACTGGTGACATTCATTTTCTTAACCCTTACCTTGTGGGTGTGTGAAATACTAAACTTACCAGTGGTGTATATACTATACAGTACTTAATGCCATTAACAACTAACATGAGCATACAAAAAGAATAGGCTTCACCCAGTCAGGAAAAGAATTTGCTAAAAGGTACTCATCACTATTATGATAAAATGAGAACTATTCTATGAAAATATATTCAAATACTGTAAATGGAAACATGAAAAAGCAAATGTGAAACCATCTCTAACATATTGTAATTCAAACTGCAGTACATTTACACAAGAAACAGATCAAACTCATCAAATATCATGTGGCAGTATACACTGCCTATATGAAGAAATATTAACTGAATTTTAATTGGTTGTTTTCGTCATGTGTGGGCTAAGCGTGCTAGAAATGTCCCAGATCTCTGGTGTTATTACATAGTATACCATATCACTAGCAGCTATTTCAACTCTATTTCCAGTTAGTCCCTCATTTATTATCAACATTGTACACTCACTAAAACCAAAGTGGGTAAATTATTTTTCATTTGATATGCACTGTAGTATAGTGATCTATTTCCTTGACTTATAACCAAGGATCGTGAGTTTGATATCCTGTGGGACAGAAAGTGTTAGGCCATTTTCCTTTCATCATATGCCTTTGTTCACCTATCTTGAGGTTATCTTGAGATGATTTCGGGGCTTAGCATCCCCGCGGCTCGGTCCTCGACTAGGCCTCCTTTTTGTTACACCCTCCCTGAGGAAGCAGCCTGTAACATCTGCCTAACTCCCAGGTACCTATTTACTGCTAGGTAACAGGGGCATCAGGGTGAAAGAAACATTTTGCCCATTTGTCTCTGCCTCCACCAGGGAGGCGGAGACCACCTAGCAGTAAAATAGGTACCCAGTAGTTAAAGGCTGCATACAAGGGAAGGTTATCAGTAGTTAACTTAAGGAGGACCTCGATAAGCAGAAGTACAGTACAGTACAAGCCTGCTGTTCTAGACACGAATTATACCCATTCTATGAGCAGTAGTGGAAAAGATTACAGGCACATGATGGTCACAGGAACTAACGTCCAAAATTCTTAGATTTCATTATCACCTTGGAATGCCTTTGAGCAGCCTGCAGGCAATAATATACTGAGAATTCCAACAAATTTAATCAACCTTACAAATGTGAACTTCACACGTCATTATATCCAACACCATACTACTATGCAGGAAGAACTATATATCAATGGTGGATCCTGTAATAATATCAGTAGACAAAGTGTATAATACTCAGGAAAATATGAACCATGATATTAAAAAAATGCTCTTCTGGTAATTCACCTAGCCTTGTATTGCTTTACTCATTAAAGGATCTTTTGAAACACCCAGGAAAACAAACCAAAATAAAGCTAAAGATAAGCAAAGGGCAGGTGATTAAAATAGTACTGAGGCAGAACTAATCCAATACTGTACATACATCTGTAAAGACAAGCAGGCACAATAACTCTCAGCCCCTTAGGAACAATGTCTGGAGTTTTCTCCTAAACAAATGCTAGATGCCTAGAAATAATAATAATAATAATAATTTTTTTTTAATTTATGAGAAGGTACAATGGGTTTGAGATTACGTAAGAATGGTATTTTTACATTCTTGCAAAGCCACTAACACGCATAGCGTTTTGGGCAGGTCCTTAATCTAACATATTAGGCAAGATGAAAAACGTACATTGTGGTGTGCATAAAGTAGTAGGAATGATGCCATAAACACAATTTTTTTTCTAGAAAAAAATCGTGTGTGAGGTGTCGGTTTTTCCAGTTAATTTTAAAAATCGAGTTTGTGGTCATAAGGGTTTCTTATGGGGGAAATTTGCGGCAAAATTTTAAATCAACATATAACTACAATATAAATTGACAGATGTGATTACACAGGTGAAGGTACAGTATATGTCTTAAGTACAGTACTAACATTGGGGAAGTGGGTAGCACAAGATACAGTGTGAGTTTGAAGCACTAGGTAGGAAACCATGACGATAAAATTCTTCCTTATGTCTATGATGCATATGCATACACTAAGGTTGAGAATCCCAACATCATTGTGATTATTGATACATGGGGACAAGATATAATCAAAGAAGAATTCCATCTTCTAGGATTACCACTCACCTTTCAGAAAGGACAGAACAATAAAAGCAGGTGATGTGATAAGAGGACCTGACTGCAACCAGTAATGAAGAATTCAATAAGTTGAATTTAATATTGTGATTATCCTTGTACAGTATATTAAACTGTGGTAAGTGTAACAAGGATAAATTTAATAATGTAAATCTTCCATTAGTCTAAAAATGGGGAATTATATTGGTGAAAGTGCTACCTTGGGTAAATTAACAATGTAATACAGTAACATTGTATGTGGTTGACATTGCACTGGCGGTTGTGGGGTCCGCAGCAGGCCACATATAGTCCTGTTAACAGGCTCATCAAGGTCCATTTAGGCTCTAGGCCAACTGTTTATCCTCTCCCTAGAGGCACCCCACAACAGTAGCACAACTCCCATGTGTACCTACTTACTGTTAGGTGAACATTCATCAGACAGTCCAGGTGGTGTTGTTGGTTAGGCGCTCGCCTGGCGTATCGCGCGCGCTTTGGCCTGGGTTCGTATCCTGGCCGGAGAGGATTTACTGGGCGTCAATCCTTAACCGTAGCCTCTGTTTACCCAGCAGTAAAGTGGGTACCTGGTTGTTAAACGATTTGGCGGGTCGTATTCCAGAGAACATAGGGTTAAGGAGTTACCTGAAACGCTACGCGTGCTAATGGCGGTGCAAGAATGTAAGAACTCTTATATATATAAATAAATATACATTTTTTTTATCTTTAATAAATGAAAAGGTGACGAAAGCAGCCAACCATCCTGTCTTGTCCGAGTATGGAACCCGGGACCATCGGTTGTGCCCAGGACTACGTAGATAATAGTAAATAAATGTTTATTCAGGTAAAAGTACATACATACAAGATGAGTTACAAACAGAATGTTGAATTTCTAGATAGTTTTAGTACATACTATGCCGAAAGCCACTAATACGCACAGCGTTTCCGGCGATACGTCACTGACTATCTTGTTTGTAAAGTTTTAAGTTTGACTTTTCAAGAATATAATGACAAAAGCTCATATTTTTTCCTACTTCATTATTCTAAACTGTAGATGAGTTAATGTTTGTTGAGAGCGTTGAGAGCAAACCTGGGAATGAAGATAGTGACCATCATCCATCTTATTGCCGGAATATTCGGTTCACAAATTTGCTGTAATTATTACGCAAAATGCTATTATATTAAAAAAAAAACATGGTTTTTAAATTGCATTCATCCACGTATGAGATTCAAGTAAATGAGAAATTCTAGACCTGATATACGATTTAAAGTTCAGAGATGAAAAAGAGCAACGAAAGTTAAGAGGAAGGAAGGGTGGCCGGCCGGGGCATCCCCTCCCAGGTTTCCCCAGACGAGGGAGAGTGTCCACCTTCTTAAGTTCTCCTACAGTTCTCACCTGCCTGGCACGGGTTACCCTCACTTACACAAGTACTTGGTACACTAGTGTAGCCGTCTGGCATCCATTGGTCTTGGTTCCAGTCTCAGTTCAGCTCTTGTAAGAGAATCATCATCTCCTGGCAACGTCAACAATGACTGAGGAAATGTAAGTATTGCGCACAAATTCATTTTAAAATACATTGTCAAGCATAAATGAATAATTTTACCCGCATATTATATCGTAAATTTATCATTTGAAAGGTATAAAAGAAAAATCAAGGTCAGAGATATATTTGCATGGAAGTACTTGCATGTTAGCCTTGACCACCTGCCTGATTAGCAGACGTCACGGTCAGCTGATGTGACGCTGGCCGGCTATGGGTGGGCTGACTACAGCTATAGGGGGTATTTAGTGGCTGTATGTGAACGTTCTACAGCTGTAGGGGGTATTTAGTGGCTGTATGTGAGCGTTCTACAGCTGTTGGGAGTATATAGTCGCTGTATGTGAATGTTCTACAGCTGTTAGGGGGTATTTAGAAGCTGTGTGAGGATGTTCTACAGCTGTTGGTGATATTTAGTGACCATGGGCTGGCTACCTACAGCTGTTGGGGATATTTAGTGATTGTGGGTGGGGTGTCATCACAGCTGTAGGGGGTATATTTAGTGGCTAAGGGCAGGCTGCATACAACTGTAGGGAATAAGAGCAGTTGTCAAACTCACACTGTATCTTGTTCTACCCACTTCCCCAATATTAGTACTTAAGAGATATATCATTACCAGTATAATCATCTGTCAGTTTATATTGTAGTTATATGTTGATATAAAATTTTGCCACAATGTACCTTTTCATCTTGCCTGATACGTTAGATTAAGGACCTGACCGAAATGCTATCCATGTTAGTGGCTTTGCAATAATGTTGTGGAGGATAAGTCATATTGTACAAAAGACCATTCACCAATGGATTTTAGAAGCCTACCTAACCTTACCCATCCTAAATGTAACTCAAACCAACCAAACCAACCTAACACAACCTAACCTAATGATATACAGTACTGTATAAGGTTTTGACAACCAAAAATGGGCTTTGTTTAACACTCTTGTGTATGATTTAACCATACCCCAGTGTGGATGGTCCATGAACAACTGGACACAATGTAATTAGGCTGTTATCTGTTGTAGGAGGATATTTGTTGCCTGTAGGTTCACAAAGAGTGACTATGTGGGTGCAAAGTGAGTAGTTTTGAGTGAGCTTGAACTCAAGCTCAATCTGGGATGGGTGTAAGAGACTGTGGAAGGCCATGACTGGCTGTGGGTTGATTATGAAGTGTTTTGATACGTGAACGGTAATTATCAGAAGAAAGTGTCAAGTTAGTATGATTGCAAGTTGATAGGTAATTAAGATGCCTATTTAATGCCTTCTTTATTAAAAATAGACCAAGCTGAAATGGCAGGTTACTTCAATATGATACATATACCTTAAGGCCACCATCTCT